CCAGAGTGGATTATCACTTAGTTATTCTTTATTTAATTATTAATGTTTTAAATAAAATTCACAGGACACTCAGAAATAAAAAAGTGTCTTATTTAGACACATTTACCAAAGCAGATGTGAATAAAGGTTTAGACAAGATTGTATTTTATCTTATTAACACTTGAATGACTTTTTCCCCAAATCTCATACATTACATTCTACACTTATTTCTTGCTCAATCGCATATTCTTTAGAGACTTGGTCTTTCATTCTCCAGTAAAGTAGAGGAAATTATTTTTTCATTATTATAATTCAATTGTTCATAAGTCTTCTATTGAATTTAAATGGTAGTAGCTGTAATTAACTGATGAAATTTTAAATACATATTTAAATTACTTCTGTCTACCTATCATTGTTGGTCCATGAGTTAGCACTAGCATTTTATGACAAAAACTGCTAAATGTCAGTTGTTCATTTTTTTCAGGCCAATAATTGAAAATGACTGTAATTATTGCAATAAATAGTTGTAGGTTAAGCTATATCTCAATAAGCAGAACAATTCAAATATATGCAGAATAAGACAATATTAAGGATTCACGAATGTCCCTTCTACATTTAGAATTGTAGTCAACAATTTAGTCCCCTTATAGTTAAGATTAATTTATGGTTGTACAAATGAAAGCTAGAGTCCCTGGCCTAAAACCCAACTTTAAGATTCTGTTCATTTTCACTGAAAGAACAACTTAAAATACTAAGGTTATAAAGGGTAAACAAGCAAATGTAAATTTCATCAGAAACTTGAGTTTAGAGTAATGATTCGCATGCACCTAACCACTCCAATCAAATGCTTAGGCACGTACTTATGTTTTTTGAAGAGAGTATGCATGTTTCATCAAATTCTAAACAGAAAGCACCATATAAGAAAATCATATTTTAGAAAATTAATTCAACATACTATTTATGTGTGTGTATGTGTGCAAGTGTCACTTTCACCAAAAAATTCCCAGAAAAAAAGAACAGCATCTCCCATTCCTATTTATTCTTAGATGATTGTTTAATAGCGAAGTCAGTTTACATTTGAAGACATTTTGAATAATCTTATTAAAAACCAATTCAAACAATGTGGCTCATGTTTAACTCTTCAGTTATTTATCCATTAATCTCTTTAAGTGCTTCCTTCCCTAACACAGCTGTAGTTCAAGAGGTGGCCAGCAGTTGGCCTCCATTTCAGTGGAGTTTCATGAAAGCCCAGATTTCTTTCTGCAAACTTTTTAAAAGTTGTATGAAAAATAACTTTTTCATAACTTAAGAGCTTATAACAAGCTTTCCAAAGGATCCAAAAGAAACACATTTTCTTTTAAAAATAAAAACCAAACAAAAGGAAGCCACACACATTGTAAAGATGTTCTCTGCAAAACATTCTGTTCAGCAGATCTGAAATGTCTCCAAAGGGACCAAGAACCACTTCGTTTGGAAGCAACAGTTGAGAACTCATAACAGGTTGGTTAAAAGCCAACAGTTACAACCATGAGATTTTTAAAGCAGATTAGGAGTGGCTGAGATACCAGACACTGGGCCTTGCCTAGTCTCCCTGTTTCATTTACTTGAATGCCTTCAACTGTACCGTTCAACCACCCACTACAGCTGTTCAAAAGCCTCTGTCCTTGGTCCTCTGTTCTTTTCGCCTTTTATGCTATCCCCTGAAGACTGCAATCCTACTAACTACAATGGTTATGATGACAACTCCTAAACCTACATCTCTGTTTCTGTTATATCTCCCAAACTTAATCCCCTATCTCCAAATTCTGACTTATATATTTCCACCAGTATATGCCATCATCATCTCAGACACAACACATACAAAACAAATTATTCACCTTTATCAAACTTTCAGTTTCCCTGCCTCTGTTAACATTAATCCCATTGTTCTGGTCACCAAGAATTAAACCACAGGAACAGTTGTGGACTCCCTGGTGCCCTCCATCACTCACATTCAGTTGGTTCATGTGGCAGATCCCATTTTTCAAAGATGGCCAACACAGTATCTCCCATCCCACATGTATTTCTACAGCATGATCTTACCACTTCACCATCAAACACATAATGGAGTCTAATTCCTCTCTCCTTGAATCTGGACTAGCCTTATAGCTCATAACCAGAAGAAGGTGACCAAGGCAATGCTATGAGACTTCGGAAGCTAGGTCAGAAAAGACCATGAGGAAGGAAGGAAGGAAGGAAGGAAGGAAGGAAGGAAGGAAGGAAGGAAGGAAGGAAGGAAAAAGAAAAGACCATGAAGCTCCTGCCTGGTTCTCTCAGAACTCTTTCTGGCGGAAGCCAGCTGCCATACATGAATGTCAACTACCTTAAGATTGTCATGCTAAGGGTGCCTGGGTGGCTCAGTTGGTTAAGCGACTGCCTTCGGCTCAGGTCATGATCCTGGAGTCCCGGAATCGAGTCCCACATCGGGCTCCCTGCTCAGCGGGGAGTCTGCTTCTCCCTCTGACCCTCTTCCCTCTCATGCTTTCTATCTCTCATTCTCTCTCTCTCAAATAAATAAATAAAATCTTTAAAAAAAAAAAAAAAAGATTGCCATGCTAAGAGACAACATGTAGTCCCAACCTGGCCCAATCTTCCAGCTATCCCACTAAGTTGCCATAATACGAATAAAGCCTCCTGGATCCTCTCGACCAGTTCATCTGTCAGCTCAATGCCACCAATTGTACTTAGTAAATACACTGAGAAGAATCACCCAGCTGAGCCTTGCCCTAAATCTTGACACATAAAATCATGAAATATATTATATAAATATATTATGTAAATATAATAAAATCCAGAGCTTCCTTCTAAGCATTCAATACATTGCAAGTGGAGTTGTTACTCTGTGGGGCTGAATGTTAACTGACATGCCACTTCTTTCCCTCCATTCCCAGGGCCATCATCACAGAGGAAGAAGCTCTCATCACCTTAGATCTAGACCATTATAACTGGTTCCAGGCCCTCCTCACTGTAATCTGTCATTACAATCTATCTATCCTAATAGTTCCAACCAGAAAACCTCTTTTGCATACCAACACTACAATCAACACCAGTCTTGTTGATGTTTTCCATTTGTAGAAAGTTTTATAATGCAAACTTGATCTATACAACATCAGCCAGAGATCTGTCAATAGGGCAAATATTCTTTTCCTTACTTTAGGGATGAAGAGGTCAGAGTTAAGGAGATTAACTTTTGTATAATCTCACTGCCAATAAATGGAGTGGATATAAACAGAACTAAGAGGCTATGTCAAAGTTCACTGCTATTTCTCTGTTCTACAATGCATCCTATCATTTATCTCAGATCAAAAATGTTCAATGGTTTCTCCATCCCCACTACAGCAAACCTACTTTCTAAATATCCTTAATTTGGTCTCAATCTGTCCAGTTGTTTGGTATTGCCTACTAACACCACCACCATCACCACTACCACCACCATCACCACCATCACCATCACCACCACTACAATAAGGATTACTTATTTACTTACCTAACAATATACCATGCTGATTCTAGCCTCTGAACATCTGCTCACAAAGTTTCCTCCTTTCTCCTATCTACTTAAACCTTGCTCATGCATTAGCATAAATACCACCTCCTCTCCATTAAGTCCTACCAGCCTATCTCTGTTGCTTTCTCTCTGTTATTCCTACAGAATTTGTAAATTTCACCCAAAATCTGACAATTTACATTGGATTGTTTATCTTGCTTAAGTGTGTTGGTCTCACTTTCCAGGCTGGTACTCAGCTAACACACATCTATACATACAGCAATGTTGAGCGCTTACAATCAGTGTCTGTTCTGACCAGTGAGTTACTCATGACATACCATCTGTTAAATATTTTGAATTTCATCCCTGCTTATTTCCTACACTAAACAATAAGCTCTTTAAGAACAGGACCCTTGTCTTATAAAGAAGTACTATAAACTCCAATCCAAACACAGTACTAAGCACACAACTAGTGTTCAATATATATTTGAAAACTGATTTGAAGGGAGTAAAGTGTGTTGTGTTATGAGAAAAAAAATATCCCTAAGTCATGTCTACACTGGAAAGAGAGACTTGAAAAGATAATAAAATGTTTTCAAGATCAGCATTTTAATGTCAGGGGCATTTTATAATGTATCATTTAAAGATATTCTGTGCAGCCCATAACTGCAAAATGTTCTATAAATGTTTTTACCAGGACTGTGAAAAAAGTGTTTCAAAAATATTCAAGGAGTAGATGTCTTACCAGCCCAAAATAAAATGTTTGCTGAGGCTCCAAGACTGGCAGAACTCTGCTTCATTTCAAAAAGTTTCCAGGCAATGGAAATGTTTTCCTGGAAAATACTACCTTTTATTTAGAGAACACTTGCCATGAACACTTAGTCATTAAGTAATTTAAGGTTTCCTTACAAGCTCTTTGGAGGAAATCTATTATATGAATGAATGAAATTATCAGCACCTATAATGTCAAAAAAATACATTTGGCTAAATATATGAAATCTACCTAAGTATTTTTCCAGGTAAAGGGGAAAAATCTTTGATATTTTTTGGTCATTTACTGTTCTTTAAAATTTTTCTATAAGATAAAATTATAAAGAAAAACACAAAATCCTTAAGTGTTTCTCTGTAATATACACAAATCCAAAAAACTGGAAGGCTTATTTTATTCCAAATGCCAAGTAATTTTCAAACAGACAAAACAGTCATTTCATTCAATGAAAAGAAATGGTAACTTCAAAGCTATTTTTAGCAAAATCTTTGAGTTTGCTTCAAATCACCTTTCAATGGGAGAACAACTTGGTTTGGACATGTCACTCAATCATCTGCAGTAACTCATACAACGAAACCTAAGAAAACAATTTCTTCCATGAGTTTGAAGCCAATTAAGTCTTATTCTTTTAAACATCAAAAGACACAAGTAAATTTTACTTCGAGCACATGGTTTGTGCATTTAGTCTTTTAAAAATGTACACAAAAGGATATTTGTTTTGTTTACCTGTTTAGTATTTCGGTAAGTTTCACAAAGCCAGTGTAAGCCAGTTCAAATGCTCCTCTGTGCCTGGACTGTAAGAGGTGTTGTTTAAAGTAATCTCCTATTTCTTTTACCTTTAAAACAAAATAAAAAATAAATGTGTGATTTATGCTTACTTACAGTTACAGATACATTTATGTCAGTAATAACATTGAGAACTCAGAACTAGATCTTTATCCGTTTAGCACTGACTTTGTGACAGGTAGTATTTTAAGTGTTTTTATAATATCACATTTAATCCTCACGGTAAATTCCATGAAATAAGTGCTATTATCATCTCTACTTTTCAATAGGGACGAGGCCCAGAAAGGCCAAGTAACTTATTCAAGGTCACACAGCAAGTCAGTAGTAGAGCCAGGACATAAACGCAGGCAGTCTGGCTCCAGTCGGCATCTGTAACTGCTAGACTAGAACTGCCTCCCTATACCGCTTCACAAACCTCACTGTGTTCTCTGTTAGCTCGTACCACTCAACACCAACAGCAAGTCACACAAAGTGACAAGCCTTACACGCCCAAGCCTGGGTGAAATAATTAGCTTTTTCGGTTCAAAAATCTTTTTTCTACTGTGGTTAAAATATATATAACATAAAATTTACCATTTTTTAAAAAGATTTTATTTATTTATTTGAGAGAGAGAGCACTAATCAGGGAGGGGCAGAGGGAGAGGGAGAAGCAGACGCCCCGCTGAGGAGGGAGTTCGACATAGGACTCGATTCCAGGACCCTGAGATTATAACCTGAGCCAAGGGCAGACGCTTAACCGACTGAGCCACCCAGGAGCCCCTAAAATTTACCGTTTTTAATGTATACAGTTCCATGGTACTCCATCTATTCATATTGTTGTGTAACCATCAGCACCACCCATCTACAGAACTTTTTCACCTTCCCAAACTGAAACTCCAGTCCAGTGGACAATAACTCCAATAATTACCGTTTAGAGATAAACAATTATTAATGGCAATGCAAGACTTGTGCAAAGGGAGTCCTGAAAATTGAAAATTGACAGGCTTCATGCTGAGTCAGAACCATGGAGTTTTCCACAACGCTACCTTATCACTTTCCTACATATTGCCTTTCTGCATGCAAGTTTAGACAAATAACAAATATGACAATTTATTTTAAAGAAGGCAAGACTAACAATTAGTTGCTGATGAGGTTTTGTACAGAATTAACTGGTAAACTGGGCTAACTGTACTTTTATACCAGGAAGATTTGATGGTTATCGACTTTAGAAAATCCAAATTTTGTATAAAGCTCAGGATCAAAGCTGTAATTGGCTCTCTTGATCCAAGTCTCCCCAGCAGATCACAGTACGGTGGAAAGGCAAGCTATCCCAAGATAGCTCAGATATGCTAACCTAAAACACCTTCTATCTCAGCACAGTGACTATGTCAGTGCCCTGCACACATGAGAGATAATAAACAGTACAAGGTGTAAACATTTGACCGTAAGCAAATGTCTCAGTCTCCGCATCTATAAACTGGGTATAACAATAGTACTTGCCTCAAAGATTGTACATTAAAATAAGTTAATAAACCTGAAAGTGCAGAACAGGCCCATAATCTATAAACCAATTCAGTTCTGGGTTTCCAAATAGAGGAAAAGTAAAGACATACTCCATACTCAAAATATATCTGATTATAGAGAGGTAATAAGCGATACATTTAGAGAAATAAGAAACAGATATAAAACAACAAAGAACCAGAAAAGCAGTATATAATAGGATTTTTAAAATTCTAACACTTTAATAACCCAAGAGTGACGCGTCATGTTCCTTCCGCTAAAGTTTTCAGGTAAAGATCTTATGACACTCCTAATTTTTAATATTTTTTAAGAGCCACATACAACTAGCTATCAAAACCACTGTCCGGTAAGCTTTATCATTTTCTCTTCAATACTGTAATTTCAGAGCATATTTTGACCAGAATTATCAAGCCTTTAATCTGAATTTAACCCCCGAGATAGATCTAAAACTCAATAATCCTATAAAATGGGGACCAGAAGAAACTTCATTCAGCTATCATTTCTATTATTAGAGAAATAAAAGAAGATTTCTAAGAATAGGTATTTTAAGCCACAGAAAATAAAAACAGAAGTCATAAAGATGGGGTCTAACTTCCTTAATTTTTTTTTTCTAAAATGTTACAGATAGTAAAACATACTTCAGGAAAACACAAATGTTAACTGTTAAAGTGCTTCTCTGTGAACTTAAAATGTTTCACCATCTAGTTCTTAAGCAAAGATTTGATGTTCAGCTTCCTTTATCCTGTTTAAAGGAACCTAAATCAAAAAGCATATCATAAAATCAAAGATCTCAGAAGTGTGACCAGTACATGATCTTCTCAAGGATGGACCTCAATTTTAGGTAATCCTGGCCTCAGGAAACAGAATGAGGCTCTAAGGATACAAGTGAGAAGTAGACAGTTTTCCCTCATTTCATTCTGAACATAATCTCCCAACAAACTCACCTAGGTAATACTATGAATTTTTGCCTTTGAAGAGAGTATACAAGGTCTGACAATCAGTAAATATTTCTTTAGCACCCAGCCAAATGTTTAGCAGCTTAGTGCTAGGGTAGACAGGGAGGAACAAAACAAGACATCTGTCCTCAAGAGGCTTTCAGTTCAGACAAAACCAATATGCTGAATGGTACCCATCAGATGCCTAACAGCTCCAAGAAATGAAAGATCCTTCTGCCCTAGAATAAATTATTACAAGAAGCTTCATGTTTAGACCTTGAACTGGATATACTTGGGTGGACCAAAATGGAAGAGGGTAACGAATATGGGAAGAGGCTGGGTGGCTAGAAGGAATGAGCATTTATTAAGTCTCTGCTACCTCCCAGACACTACTGGATCTTTCTATATGAATGAACACGTTAGCAGACCTGGCTGAATGACCTTAAGGTTTCACACTAGAAAACAGTGGAAGACAGGGATGCAAGTTGGACACGGACCCCATTACCAAGGGTAGGAGGAGTCAGCAGGGCAGTGTGGCAGGTGGACAGGGAAAAGGGCCATGCTGACACCTCCCATTGGATAATCAGGCTACAAGAAACAGATTTGACCCAAACAACTTAGAAAATTAATGACAACAGTCAGAACCAGAAATAGAATTTTTTTATTTTTTATTTATTTATTTTTAAAGATTTTATTTATTTATTTGAGAGAGAGAATGAGAGATAGAGAGCACGAGAGGGAAGAGGATCAGATGGAGAAGCAGACTCCCTGCCGAGCAGGGAGCCCGATGTGGGACTCGATCCCAGGACTCCAGGATCATGACCTGAGCTGAAGGCAGTCGCTTAACCGACTGAGCCACCCAGGCGCCCTAGAATTTTTTTTTTAAAGATTTTTTTTTTTATTTGAGAGACAGAGAGAGCAAGCACGACTGCGGGGGGGCAGAGGGAGAGGGAGAAGCAGACTCCCTGCAGGGAGCTCGATGCTGGGCTCGATCCCAAGCCAAAGGCTCAACTGACTGAGTCACCCAGGTGCCCCCAGAAATAGGATTTTTAAATTTATTTTTAAAATGCAAAAGTCCTCTGAAAGCTCTGAACCAATTGCCTTTTTATTAGATGCTACTAAAGTCCTATCTAAAGTTCACAAAAACATGGATGATGTCTTCACAAAATATTTTCTTTTTTTTTTTTAAAGATTTTTTTTTTTTTTTTATTTGACAGAGAGAGAGACAGCGAGAGAGGGAACACAAGCAGGGGGAAGTGGGAGAGGGAGAAGTAGGCTTCCGGCCGAGCAGAGAGCCCGATGTGGGGCTCGATCCCAGGACCCTGGGATCACGACCCGAGCCGAAGGCAGACGCTTAACGACTGAGCCACCCGGGCGCCCCTTCACAAAATATTTTCTTAATGAATAACATACATCTCAAGATTTTTAAAAGGGAATAAAGGTAAAAAGGTAAAAAAAAAGGGGGGGCACTGATTTCTTTTTTTTTCAATTAAAGATTTTTATTTATTCATTTGACAGAGAAAGACACAGTGAGAGAGGGAACACAAGCAGGGGGAGTGCGAGAGGGAGAAGCAGGCTTCCTGCGGAGCAGGGAGCCTGATGCGGGGGCTCGATCCCAGGACCCCGGAATCATGACCTGAGACGAAGGCAGACGCTTAACAACTAAGCCACCCAGGCGCCCCGGATTTTTATTCTTAAAATTAAAGTCCAGTCACTATCTTTTTAAATTTAGCAGATCCTGGTTCTAAATTTTCATAAAACCCATTTCTACAGGCCAATTAACATGCTTTCTAGATTTACAGGGTATAAATTTCCATAGGAGAAAATAGCTACATACCATGTCTTTAGGCATCTATAACTCACCAGTGGACAAATTAGGGGAGCTAAATGCTCATCTAGAGCCTAAAACCCACAAAGGGCAAATTTAAATACATTTTTAAAAATTTGTCCTTTATCGATAGAAATACAGCTGAAAAATCAAGGCTAATTCCACTCATTCTAAAGTAGATAAACCCAAGAGGATTTAAGTATTGGTGGAACGTTTCTACAAAAGCATATGCGGTGGTTAAGCTGTGATACTCTGGAGCCGGGAGGGCTGAGTTCAGGAACCCTACTCAGCCTCCTTACTAATATAAGCTAATAAAGCCAGTTCCTTCACCTGTGAAATGGGGCTAAAACTAGAACCTACTTCATAGGATTATTCTGAGAAATAAGTCAGATTAAAAATACAAGCATTTAGCAGAGCACCTGGCAGACTAGCAAACAGTAAATGTCTGTTTTTGTTTTTATTTTGTATCATCAGTATTGAGACTTAATCCCTTAATTTTAATTTTGACTTTAGGACACAGCTACTTCGTATAACCTTAGGAATGTCATTAATTTCACTTTGGTTAAATAGAACAGTTTATAAAAGTTTAGATGACAGTAAGATAATTAATGTTTTAAACTGTACATTCTCTACTATAGGGATTTCTTACTAACAGTGGGGATTCTTCAAAGCCCAAACATTGCTTCCCTACATAATAACAACCAAGATAATAGTTTTCTGGTATTTAGGGGCCCTGGGGGGCTCAGTCGGTTAAGCATCTGCCTTGGGCTCAGGTCATGATCCCAGGGTCCTGGGATCATCGGGCTCCCTGCTCAGTGGGGAGTCTGCTTCTCCCTCTTCCTCCCCACCCCCCTCCCACTCGTGCTTGTGCGCGTGTGCACGTGCTCTCTCTCTCTCAAGTAAATAAAATCTTTTAAAAAAATAGTTTTCTGGTATTTAGACATCTTCTTACCAGCAGTTTATTCTTTGCTTTCTAGCAAATTCTTAACGATGTGCCATTTTAACTGGTGTCCTTTAGTCTAACTTTTTAAAATGAATTGGTCTTGCATCCCTTATTACATTTCTAAGCCCTTCAAGGTCAGAGAACCACCTATTACATTTCTTTATGTTCCCAAACACCCTTGTAGTACGGCAGTCAATAAACAGATGACTAAAAGATATGTTTAATTCCATTTCATAGCTTAAAAATGGTAACCTGCATTCAGTACAATTCAATGAATACTTATTCATAATTTCTAAAAAATAAACTCTGGCAAAATACAAAAGGCAATTTCTTTAAGACTTATAGATGCTAATAAACATACATCCCCTTTTGTCCATTACGGAAAACCTAACACAGTAACAAAAGACAGAAAAATGTGTAAACCCATTTAGCCGTGTACATCCTAAAAATTACAACAGAATCTACAGTAGGAATTTTTAAAAATAGGTAATTTAACTGTTGGTAATTATTTTTGTTCAGGCGATTTCTGTGGTGATAATTACTAGGAAGGGGAAAGCAGGTATGAAAAATCTACCCTAAAGCTTCTTTTTAGGAATACTAGAGGAAATATATAAATATATGAATTGATACTCCAGACGAGATCGGGCGCGTTCAGGGTGGTATGGCCGTAGACTGAATTGATACTCCAGATAGAGGAAGTTGTTTAAAAAAAAATAAGCAGGCACTGGGTATCCAATAACCCTTGGAAAGAGGACCAACAAAATGTATCAAGCAAAAGCTCCACATCAGCAAAACATCCAGCTTGAAACCTAGACACACACCAGCTAGAAGTTGGGAGATAAGGTTGCGTGTACTGCCCACTCTTTAAGGGTCTTGACTTACATCCCTCAAAGTTGGTTTTATCTCTGCTTCTTGTACAGGGACATTATGAAAGAACCTTTCATTAGGTGATTACCTTGCAGGAGGAAAGTCAGACTTGCCTCTGAATGAACACATTTTCCTCTTGCTGAAGCCGTGGAGGACACACTGCTTCGCAAGAAGTGATTTAGGGAAATGAATCATTTGCTAAAAAGCTCAGTAGCAAGTTGCCTTACTGTCCTGTTGCTTGTAAAAGTCTGGTTGGGTAGGGGAAGTAGGGAAGATTAAATTTAAAGAAAAGTTAAATGAGCAGTTCAGAACAAAGGCAGCACTGTGCTGTGTCTGAACGCAGGCTGGAAAGGAGAACTGGGTTCCTCTCCCGCAACTGCCACAAGCCAGCTTTGTGATCTTGGGCAAACCAGGTAACACCCCAGGGCTTCAGTTTGCCCTTGTACAAGTGGGCTGGATCCTATCATCCCTGTGACTCTTCCAGCTCTAACAGTCTGTGAATACAGCACTGAATACTCAGTCACAAATGGGAACCAGTCCTTCTCATTCCGCAGCAAACTAATCTTCAAAATGATCTCACAGTCTGCCAGCTGGTTAGAAACCACCCTCATGTATGCAGGATTTCAGGGGTCACCCCTTCAACAAATGGCCCAAAAACTAGGATGGGATTAAAGGCACCGGGCTACAAAAGAAATCCTCCCTGTTGCCTGCATTTGAGACATCAAATTTTAAATTAGAATCATCCTGCTTTTTCAAGAGTAAAGGGCAAATGGAGAGTAAAAGAAACACTGGGTTGAGTGTCAATATTTTAGGTTGTATAGAACGGCCTCCTTCATCCACTGAGAGAAAAGCAGAGCATTGTTATTATTACTCTTGAGAATAAGAAATCCAAATCCCAGATTCTCCCCCAAAGTGACTCCTGCCTACAAATCACTTCGCTGCCTCTGTCCGTGCACGTCTGTTACGGTCACCCTCACCTAAGGTACTGACTCTTAAATTCTTAGTTTTGCTGATGGGTGCACAAAAGATGTTGTTTTGTAATGGTGACTGTGTCCTTGGAAGGAAGGTAGACCTCAGGCATGGCCCAGCCACTCCAATGGAAATTACCTTCTTCTCTATCATGTACATATTTTTAACTCTCAAACGTTTTAAGTACATGGTTGTATTTTTAATTTAGAAGAATTTCATGGAGGAAAGTTTTGTTTAAAAGTTGGAATCCTCGGGGTGCCTGGGTGGCTCGGTCGTTAAGTGTTTGCCTTCGGCTCAGGTGGTCCTGGGATCAAGCCCTGTATTGGGCTCCCTGCTCGGCGGGAAGCCTGCTTCTCCCTCTCCCACACCCCCTGCCCGTGTTCCCTCTCTCGCTGTGTCTCTCTCTGTCAAATAAATAAAATCTTTATAAATAAATAAATAAATAAATAAATAAATAAATAAAAGTAGGAATCCTCTAGCAATATGAATAACGCTAATTTCTTGATGACTTTGATTTTCATTGACTAAATGTTCCTAAACTGAGGCATTTCTTCTAGTTAAAGACACCAGGATCAAGAATAAAGTCTTCCACAAGTGGCAGGGTTTCAAGGTTGGAACAGCGTTATCCCGTACATTCTTTTTTTTTTTTTTTAAGATTTTATTTATTTATTTGAGAGAGAGAGAGAGAGAGAGAGCCCAAGAGCGGGTAGGGTCATAGAGAGAAGCAGACTCCCCGCCAAGCAGGGAGTCCGACGTGGGACTCGATCCCGGGACTCCAGGATCATGACCTGAGCCGAAGGCAGTCGCTTAACCAACTGAGCCACCCAGGCGCCCTACCCCGTACATTCTTGATTGCTCATTCAGTAGTTAATTTCTTCTCAAACCAAAAATGTGATACCACCACGTGAACAGCGACATGGAAAAATGACTGAATCTCACTAGAATAGAAATTAATATTTTACAGAAAAACAAGACTCATTTTTTATTCAAGAAAACAGTCATTTTAGAAGAGTTCTTTGCTTTATAAGAGCCTCTCTGTTATTGTTGCTGTTGTTTTTTGGGGGGTTTTGGGGTTTTTTTTTTACAAACATCTCTTTTATTTTATATAAATTCTCAATTCCAACATGGTTCTCCCACATAAATTCAAAAGATTTGGGTGCTATGGAAAAGATGTCAAGGCCAGATGGTTTTCACAGGAAGCTTTCAGGTCTTTCTCAACTACAGTAAAAGCAAAATCTGTTTCCCTGAATTTTTTTTTTTAAACACTATCCAACAAATCCCCCAAAAACTAGATGTTTTAACTTGTCCTTGAAAAGAGGAGTTGAACAGTGAAGAGACTCTAGCACATGTTTACTTCTTAGTAAGACGGTGAACATCAGTGAAGTAATCATTAATCATAGCTGGGTTCCTCAGCAAAGATGTTGGCATTGGCACTCCAGCTGGTCACCAGCAATGACTGCAAGTAACTCTAGAACACTGACGCCTATTTGATTTGGAAGAGAATAAGGAACACAATGATGCCGGCAGTGTACTGTTCCCCTCGGCTGGTCTCCATCTCAGGGCCTTGCAACATCACAGGCCCAGCTGTTAACCAGATGCAAGCACATGGCCACAGAGTGTGAGAATAAAAATATTAGCATTATTTCCATGGAACTAGTCACATGGTTATTATAGAAATAATCAGCATTTAGCGTACTACAATATTTGTTTTGTTCTTAAATGTTGTAACACCCTTGGGGAAAAATTATCTTTATTTGAAAAAGGTTAAAAATGAAAGTATGTGTTATAGATCTTTGCTGGAAAATGGTGGGAAAGAGATTTGTTGAAACCATATGGAAAGGAAGAGGGAATCAATTAAAAACAGAAATCTAATAAATCTAAAATATTTCCAAATGAAATGCTTGTGGTAAGCTAATTTCTTGTAAACACGGCACTCAAGTCACTTGAACAGTCCCAGATGGCGAATGGACTTTGTGGTCTTAAAATAAAAGTCAGCCAAAAAACCAAAGGGACTACAACTTTATTATCAATGTAGTGGGAAACAAGAGATCCATAATCAACCAATATATTACTTTTTTTCCTTCACGAAATTTAAGAGGTTTGTGGAGTTTTTTTTTATTATTAAAGATTTTATTTATTTATTTGATAGAGACACAGCGAGAGGGAACACAAGCAGGGGCAGTGGGAGAGGGAGAAGCAGGCTTCCTGCTGAGCAGGGAGCCCGATGTGGGGCTCGATCCCAGGATCGTGGGATCATGACCTGAATGGAAGGCAGACGCTTAACGACTGAGCCACCCAGGTGCCCCGGTTTGTGGAGTTTTACTAAACAATTTCATTTAAATGTACAGTTTAAGTGGAAAGTGGAAAAATAAACATTAAAATGACAATGTTGCAGTTAGAAGGTAAAATTTACAGTTATTTATAACTTAGAAAAATAAAACTATTTCTAAAAGTGCCATAGTTTTGAAATGTAGTGCAAGGTCTAATTTCTACACTACCGTGAATTTCCTTCAGTTGACATCTGTAGGATTTTATTCAAGAAAAATTCAAAACTCATGTTTGTTTGAGTTGAGTCACATGACCAGAAATTATACCAGGTGGAATAAACAGCTCCCCTACCTGCTCCACTGTCAGTAAGCCATTGGAAGATTCTGGCATGGACTGCATGGGAAGAAGCTGGCACAGTGTGCCTAAAAGTAAAGCGACTTCCTTCATACTTCGCCAACAACATACCAGCACCATCTGAGCAGTTACATCACATGTTTTTCTTTCTTTACCTTAAAAAAAAAAAAAAATCTATTGCAACACTAGACACTTGATTACTCACATCCCAGGTTTCTTAGAATAAGATTATTCATAATTTCCCCAAGAACAATCCGCTTAAACCAATTGTTATATTTATTCATGATAAAACAAGTAACATTTGTTGAGCATGTGCTCTAAGAATCATGCTAAGTATTTTTTTAATATACTATTTTCAAAATAAATTTTAAAATAAAACACAATACCGTTTCAAAAACTAAGTCTAACTCTCAGACATTAGTGAAACAAACTCTTTCTGCCTCTAAAGTCCTCCATAAATTACGACTATAATAAATATATTTCATTATTCATCTTGGTGAGGTTGCTGTTATATCAGTAGAGGGGCAGGATAAAACTTTTAAAATCAAAGGAAAATATAAATTCTCTTTCAGAATATACTTAAATTCCACAGCCAATAAGCATCAATTATGCTTACTCTCTTTTTCTAGCTTTTAGAATATTTTAGTATTAACATTAAAAAAAAAAACCAAGACAATTTAAAAGGCAAGTTAACAAAGCAACCCACTTGTGTTTCTTAAAAGCCCACTAAACTAAAAGAGTAAATGTAGACACACATCAATATATAGAATAGAGCTAAAAGCACATACACTCAGAAAAGAAGTGGGACGGGGAGTCAATGAAGAACTTTAATTCCGTTTTTTGTTCTTTTTTTTTTTAAGGTAAAATGTAAACACTGAATTGAAATTTTAATTAAGGCTTTAAGTTGTTTTTAATTCAAATTTACCTCTGTATTGCTTGAAACTATTACAATAAGCATACACTTAGATGTTGTGTAATTTAAAAAAAAAAAAAAATCCCAAAGAGAAATTTTAATGAGACAATATCTCCATCTAGTGGAGAATGTAGAATACATAATAAGTCACTAAGATTACTGCTGATGACTTTTTATAGAATTACAGAAAATGATAAATAACAACTAATGAGAAAACAAGCAGTAGAACACAACTTCTGGAGGCTTGATACAACCGAGCAGCTCACAGTTCACTGAGTAATAAGGCTGATTTCTCTTAAAAGGCTGCTTGACTGTAAGGACTCTCACTGCAGACAGTGAACCACATCACTAGAAGCCAACTGTGGCCCAAACCCAAGTTGACCGAGCACCACCTGGCTGCCAAGACAGGTGTTAGCACTCAAAGCTTTCTGTTGTAGCACCTTACATACTGCACTGGGGTGCACCATTTACACACTCCCCAAAATAAATCACTGATAAGCTCAAAGACTTTATTTTCTAGAAATGTTCTGCAAACATCTGCAGCCTGATTTACTATATAAAAAACATTTTGTACATTATGTCACTGAAACACCAATTACAATACTACAATGTTGATTTTATACATGCTACCTTTGATCTCTGCTGAAGCACCAATATTTGGCACACTGGCATTCAAGTCCTCCAAATCAAAGCTATCACGTTCTTTGAGTATTTTGGCTTGAGTGAAGTAATCATTAGTATCTCGTGGTTGAATCTCACTCAGAATCGTCTGTAAGCGGCTTGATGACTCTGAGGGAGAGAGAAGGGAGTGCATAAATCACAGTTCTGCAGCCCATGCGATTTCCCTTGGGAGTATTTGCCCTCAATTTTGTGATTTTTTTTTTTTTTTTTTTTTTGGAGAGAGAGAGCTCGCCAAGCAGGGGTGGGAGGGGGAAGGAGCAGAGGGAGAGGGAGAGAGAGAATCTTAAGCAGGCTCCATGCTCAGCGGGGAGCCCCACGCAGGGCTTAATCTCAGGACCCTGAGATCATGACATGATCCAAAATCAAGAGTCCTATGCTTAACTGACTGAGCCACCCAGGTGCCCCGAATTTTATAATTTTTAACACTTGATAATCAGCTCTATTAGAAGGGACTCATGGGGTAGATAATGTGAAAATTACTTATTAAGGTCTTCATGACACTTGAGTGTGCTTTTAAAATATGGCCAAAATTTTAAATTGGTTGAAGACAGGACAAAACAACACAACAGAAACTCTCCGCAAGACAAAGACCATCATCTCATTTACATTGCTTTTCTTTCTTTCTTTTACATTGCTTTTCTTAGTGTTGTCTAAGAATCTCAAATATGGTGCTCAATCATGTGAAAAAAGAGCACTAAACTTCAGGCAATTTGGTTTTAAGAGGTAAGAAACCACCACAACAAAAACAATCTTTAATACAATATTGTATTGTCAACTGTACTTCAATTAAAAAGAAAGAAAAAAATCTTTTAGAGCTCAGGAATATGATAAAGACTTTGTATTTGACTTTGAAATGCATTAGATAATATACTGCTTTCTAAGTATGATTTACAGCCCTAGTATTGTATTGAACTTCATTTTTATTCCTTAAGCACTCAATGGATTAGGAAATGTAAGCTCCACAAATGCAACACTTTGTTCACTGCTGAGTCACCAGCACCTACAACAGAAACTGGCTCATGGCAGAGGTTCAGTAACATGGGCTAAGGGAATGAACAGATGATGAGGTAATGAAGAGCTAGGCAGGCTCAGATACTTTAAGAAAAAAAAAATAAATAACAACAGCTAGTCACCTGAAACCAATTAACAAATCAAAGAACAGGTATTTTATATACCTATTAGATACACTTACTTTTTTTTAAAGATTTTAGTTATTTATTTGTCGGAGAGAGAGACAACATGCACAAGCAGGGGGAGCGGCAGGCAGAGAGAGGAGCAGGCTCCTAGCTGAGCAAGGAGCCCAACACAGGACTTGATCCCAGGACTCCAAGATCATGACCCGAGCCGAAGGCAGATGCTCAACCAACTGAGCCACCCAGGTGTCCCTAGATACACTTACATTTTAGGTCTTATAGGAGATACAAAGACCCAAAGGGCTATCAGGATGATTCAACCAACATCTTATGTTCACTTGTGGCTTCCATGAAATATTGCCAAAACAAATTTTGACAGCCATGAAAAAGTAAAACTGGTTCCAAATAGAAACCATGGAAAGACTAAGAAAAAAAGGATGATCAGAATAAAATTTTACCCATTCGTTTTTATGGCTTTCAGAGGAAACGTTTTCAAGGAATTCAGAATGCATGGTAGATAATGTGGAACAGAAATAGGAATAATAGAGACAACCCGAGGAAAAAAGAAAAGGCAAAATCAAGGAAAAGTCTGTGGGGCACAGACTGTTCTTGAGACCAACGGACATTTTAAAACTTAATAACAGAATTTTAGCGTACCTTATAGGCCCCACCCACCATAGGTGAAAAATATTCAAGATTTCTCATCCAGAATATACTGGTACTTGCCTGATCCAAATACTAGCTTTAAGATTGGATGTTTCTTATTCCTACGTATTGTTTAAGTAGGAAAACTAAAACATCAAATTTTGGTATACCAGACAAAATAAACAAAATAAACAAATAACTGTGTCTTACTCATGAACCATGACCAATCTGCCAATTCATTTTTAGTAAAGAACAAAACCTAACATTTTCTATGCAAACACACAACACCAAGTTACTTTAATTGGGTATTTATGATATGCTCAGTGTGTTTTTAATACAAGCCTCTCATTTGCACTCCTCAAACTTTACTTGCATTCACAAACTACTTCAACACCAAATGTACACCATTCACAGCCAATCCCTTCTGGCTGTTATAGTACAGGTATATAGTACAGATATATAGTACAGGTATATAGTACAGGTATGTATATATATATATATATATATATGCCACCTACAGTGTCCCACGCACTGGGTTTAGTTCCTATCCTTTCTAGAATTACTCATTCATTGATTTATTCATTATAACAAGTATTTATTGTATGCCTATTTCTACCAGGCACTTGCTAAGGACAACGGAGGAAAGTATCGATAAAATCCCTCTTAAATCGCAACAACTCCATGAAGAACACTTTGGGAAGAAAAAGAGACGAGACTGGCAAGGTTGCAGGAGCCCAACTATTAGAGGACCTAGTCTGAGGTCACTCAAGTATTTTAAACAAATGGGATGGGGCAGAGCACAAGAGTTAAGTAGAGATTATGCGTAACATGATGAATTACATGAGTAGAGAAGACTGCTGTGGATACACTATAAAAGAAAATGGAAGGAGCCAAGAGTAGATGCAAGGAAACCAAATGGGAGGGCCCTAGAGTTACACAAACAAGAGAGACAAAAGCCTGGAGTAAGGTAAGAAGATGGCAGATAAAAAGAAAACAGGTTTGAGAGCTATTTAAGGGGCACCACTGAAAGAACATGAGGACAGGCAAGATGTAAGAACAGAAGAGAGATGTCAAGCACTCCCAGGCTCTTGACTTGCACAAACAGATCTTTGGTAGGGCCATTTGCAAAGACACAGGAGTTGGTAGGGAAAAGACAGATGAAAGTTTGTGAGTTCAATAGGGCATTTTGAGTATCTCCTCCCATTTTTTGTTTTAATTAAATTCCTGATTCCTAATAAGCTGCCATCTCTGACTAAACCCCACCTCCCTGATTTATATTGCTCACTCTCCCAGCCCCAGGGGCTACCTGGTAGGTGATGCTCTGAAATGACAGTATTAGAAAATCCAATTTACCCCAGAAGAGGAAGTACCTTGCTCATCACCTGGTTTATTTATTTGTTCTGGTTATTTTTTAAGAGTTAAAAACATTACTACAGTGGCAGAAATATCACTAATCATAATAAATAGCTTCTTGACCCACCTACTTAGCTTCTGTATCTTCCCAAAGAAATGATTTGGCGGGGAGAGGTGTAATGAGCAAAAAATATAGGAATTCTAGCTTTTTTCATTTGCTGACCTGAATCAGTGTCCATTGGGATGAGGCCTTCTGGGGAGGAGCTCTGAATGACCGGAGACACCACAGCAGAAAGCCTGTAAGACATCAAAAGGAGCTTCTCTACCACAGGTCTCCATTCGCTCACCAACCGTAGGCTGCTGCAACAAGGACAGTACGGAAATTTATACTAAAAGCAAAATTCAAAAATTTTAAAAGGAAATTATTACATAAAAGGTTGAATCTGCTTCAAAATTGTGCGATCTATGAAATATTTAAGATATAAAAATATGTGTACATAGGTACATTTTTAAATCTAATTTTTAATTATCTTTAAGGCAATATATTCCTTTCCCAGGACACATTGCAGTAAGGGTTTAAAGCTCAGAAAAGCATGCTCAGGAGACAGCTGTGGTACACGTACTTTAGAGATAACCTCTGCAAAGCTCCCGTTATACAGTGAACTCGCCCATACAGTGGAAATGATGCTGCTGCCTGAAGGAGAGAATTTTCAGCCTGAGATACTTCTTCCTCAAGATTTTCCAACAAGCATTTGATAACTAGAAAAAGCAAACAAAAAACCAAAGTAATGCCAGCTTAAAAACACATTTATAAATTTGTGAATAGCTAAGCAGTCCCCACAAAAAAACATCCAACTCAACTAAACTTTGTTAGAGGTTTTATATTAAAAAAGAGATTTTTCAAAGTTATCCAGCCTGCTATACATTTCCAGTCAAGAAGGCAGAACTGTGTCTTTCCCTAACTTCCTGGATCCATTTTCAGCATTCACTCTGAATCGTTCCTCTTAGACATCCTCTATCTGGGGAATCAGACCCCAGGCCCATGTGCCATGTGCTATTTGAACAGTTGTTGTTTTGTGGTTTTTTTAAATAATGGCTTTATTGAGATATAATTCACATACCACACAATTTATACATTTAAAGTATATAAGTCAATGGTTTTTAGTATATTCATAGATATATGCAATCATCACTACAGTGAATTTTAGAACATTTTAATCCTCCCCCCCAAAAAGCCTTACCCATTATCAGTCACTCCCCTCCCTGCACCTCTCACCTTCCCCAGCCCTAAGAAAAAACTTATCTATTTTGTATAGATTTGCCTATTCTGGACATACATAAACAGAATCATAAAATATGTGGCTTCTTTCACTTAGCACAGTGTTTTCAAAGTTCATCCATGTTGTAGCATGCATCACTATTTCATTCCTTTTTATGGCTGAATAACAGTCCACTGTATGAACATACCACATTTTATTTATCCATTTATCAGTTAATGGACATGGGAGTTATTTCCATGTTTTGGCTATTAAGTATAATTCTGCTGTGAACATTCACATACAAGTTTTTGTTTGGGCATACTTTTCATTTCTCTTAATATATGCCCAGTATAGACTAAATGTTTATGTCCTTCCCAAAATTCCTATTTGAAGCCCCAAGCCCCATATTTGAAAATGGAGTCTTTAGGAAGAAATTAGGTTTAGATGAGGTTGTGAGAGTGGGACTCCCTCCTCTGCCCAATGACAGGATTAGAGTCCTTATAAGAAGAGGAAGAGAGGGCGTCTGGGTGGCTCAGTTGGTTAAGCGACTGCCTTCGGCTCAGGTCATGATCCTGGAGTCCCCGGATCAAGTCCCACATCGGGCTCCCTGCTCAGCAGTGAGTTCCCCCCCTCATGCATTCTCTCTCTATCTCATTCTCTCTCTCAAATAAATAAATAAAATCTTTAAAAAAAAAAAAAGAAGAAGAAGAGGAAGAGAGACCAGAACTGATATCCTCTCCTCCATGTGAGCATAGAGCAAGAAGGGTGCTATCTGAAGCCAGGGAAAGGGTTCTCACCAGGAACTGAAATTGCTCCCACCTTAATCTGGAACTTCCCAGCCTCCAGAACTGTGAGAGAGAGATGTTTGTTGTTTAAGCCGCCCAGGCGATGGTATCTTGTTACAGAAGCCTGAGTGTGGAACTGTAGGATCATATGGTAACGCCATGTTTAACTTTCCAGGGAACTGCCAGACTGTTTTCCAATGTAGCTGCACCGTTTTACATTCCTGCCGGCAGTGTGTGAGGGCTTTGCTTTTTCCACATCCCCTCAACATGTTATTATCTATTTTCTTGTTTATAGCCACCCTACTGGGTGTGAAGTGCTTCCTCACTGTAATTTGGATTTGCATTTCCCTACTGGCTAATATGCTGAGCATCTTTTCATGTGATTATTTTTCACATTTATCCTTTAGGAGAAATGTCTATTCAGATTCTTTGTCCATTTTTAAATTTGGTTATATCCTTTTACTAGGGAGTTGTAAAAATTCTTTATATATTCTAGATATAAGTTCCTTATCAGATAAAGGAGTCGCAAGTATGTTTCCCATTCTACAGGTTGTCTTTTCACTTTCTTAATGACATCCTTGACACACATGTTTCAAATTTTCATTAAGTCCAATTTATCTATTTTTTCTTTGCTTGTGCTGTGGGTGTCAAATCTAAGAAACCACTACCTAACCTAAGATCACAAAGATTTACACTCACGTTTTCCTCTAAGAGTTTTATTGTTTTTAGCTTTTGCATTTAGGTCTTTGATCCATTTTAAATTAATTTTTGTATATGGTATGAAGAAGTGGGTTCAACTTCATTCTTTTGCAGGTAACTATCCAGTTATCCCAGCATAGTCGATATCACCTCTCACCACTCAAGAGTTATAGTTTAAATTTTAGAACTGTGTATAACCAGTAAATTATTAACATTTAAAATATACAAAGAAGTCCTAAAAATCAATAGGAAAAAGATAAACAGCCCTACAGAAAACTAAACGAAGAACATGAACAGGCATTTCACAGAAGGGGAGAAATGAATTGCTTATAAACATGTAAAAAGATGCTCGATTACATTAACAACAAGAAAAATGCAAGATGAAACCACAAGACAGCCACTTCATATTCCGTAAACCTTTAAAATCTGACAATAGCAAGTTATAGTGATGATGTAATACACCACAACTCTCAAAATTTATAATTTGGCAACATTTAGTTAAGTTGAAGATGCACATACTTTATGACTAGGCTATTCTACTTTTTTGTTTACCATAAACTCTTAGAGACGTCCATTAGAAGAGATATATACGAGAATGTTCACATCAGCATTATTTATTTAGAAAAAAGAAGTCCCTCAACAGGAGAATGTATTAATAAAATGCAGTAAATTCATATAATACATATGGTACTATTTACATAAAATTCAAAGTCATGTAAAAGTAAGTAATATATTATTTAATGATATATACATGGGTGGTAAAATCTTGGTAAAAATAAGATGAAAGACTGACATAAACCATATGAGAGTAATTATATGGCAGGGGGAGGGAGCTAGGATAGAAGAGAAGCTTTAAAGGTATGGGTGTTATTGTATTTCTTAAGTTGGGTGTTATAACCTAGCTTGGGAATAAAACTTGTGACATTTTTACACTATTATTATTTAAATCCTATATCTATATTTAAATTATTTTTGTATGCTTGAAATATCTCATGGAGTTTTTAAATGACTTGAATTTGAAAGCCTGTACATGAACAGTTTACCCCAAATGCAAACCTCTTCCTGTCACGTATCAGGGTCTCCTTTTGAGCCCAGCCCTGAAGCAATTAGAGTGGACAAGTGCTATCTTCCATGGCACTGTCCCCTCCTTATCCCCATTTCTACCAGAACTACCCACGGCCTCCTAATTTTCTCCCATTATTAGTTCTCTTTCTCGGGGCATTTTTTACCATCTTGGAGAGAACAGTTTTTAACACTTCCTACATCTGACCTCGCTTTCTCTTTTTTTTTTAAATAAAAATCCATATCTGTCCTTACTTATAATACAACTCCAAAGTGAATATTTACCAGCACAAAATTAAGCACATGAATCCCCAAGAAATGCTGGAAATCACTAGACCTAAACCAACCAACTAGGTTTTAGAACTGGCTATATGGGAAGAGTAAAAGGCAGGGGTGTGACAGTCAGTTAAAACATAAATCTGATAGACAAAGGAACTCTGCTCTTTATAGAAATAGCAAAGATGATCTAGCTACAGTCATAGTAAAATTTCTGCCCCCCCCCCAAAAGTACATTTTTGGTAGAGAAAGACGTCCTGTTTATTTATTTATTAAGATTTTATTTATTTATTTGTCAGAGAGAGAGAGAAGTAGAGAGAGCACAAACAGGGGGGAGCAGCAGACAGAGGGAGAAGAAGGCTCCCTGCTGAGCAAGGAGCCGGATGTGGGACTCGATCCCAGGACCCTGGAATCATGACCCGAGCTGAAGGCAAACATTTAACCAACTGAGCCACCCAAGTGTCCCAAGACGTCCTATTTAAATAAGAGCTTTAATAATGTACATTTGTGTAATCTACTTATTTAACATGAACCCTCTGTTTAGAAACAGTGTTATAGCTGAGTAAGCTATTTACTTGCAAAAGAGAAATTCACAGTATTCTTATATGCTAGAAAACTCAATTAAAAAAAAAAACACAAAATAGGGGCGCCTGGGTGGGTCAGTTGGTTAAGCATTGCCTTCGGCTCAGGTCATAATCCCAGGGTCCTGAGATTAAGCCCCAAATCGGGCTCCCTGCTCAGCGGGTAGCCTGCTTCTCCCTCTCCCTCTGCCACTCCCCCTGCTTGTACTCTCAATCTCTCCCTCTCACTCACTCTCTCAAATAAATGAAAATCTTTTAAAAAATTAAAAAAATTTAAAAAACACAAAACAAACGTTTAACCACTAGCTATGCTAACTAAATGAATAGCGAGAGAGTAAGACACTGGTTTGGATAAGCAACAGCAAAAGGTCATTTATTCAATACAAACCCATTAATGTGTTCCTCTCCACCACAATAGCAGACTTATCTCCATCTCCACATGCAGCTTGCTGAGTTTGTAAGGAGGCAGACAGAGATGAGGGCAGGGCATCCTGCCAGATTAAGAAGTTCAACAGGTAGGAAGCTGTCACACAGTCGTACGGTTTAGTGCTTGAGCTGAGCTCCAATGCTGCTTGGAATAAGCCTTGCAGTTTCTCTGAATCCTAGAATAAAGCACAGACTCAGTAACTGTCACTGAAACATTTCTTTAATTTGAAGGAATTTTTTTTTTTTAAAAGATGTTATTTATTTGACAGAGAGAGAGACACAGCGAGAGAAGGAACACAAGCAGGGGGAGTGGGAGAGGGAGAAGAAGGCTTCCCGCTGAGCAGGGAGCCCGATGCAGGGCTTGATCCCAAGACCGTGGGATCATGACCTGAGCCGAAGGCAGCCGCTTAACTACTGAGCCACCCAGGCGCCCCTAATTTGAAGGAATTTAAAAACAGAACCTGCCACATAACTGAAACTTGATATAAACATTATTTCAATTCCCTTCTTCCCAGAATACAGGTTAGACTTTATTATAGTAATTACTGATTATCATTATTACTCAGCTCTAGTGATGAGGATCTTGAAAATAATGTCAATTGAGAAATTTGACATTGATAAAGTTTTTTTTTTCAGTACCTCTTTCTCCAGCAGAAGTATGCTTTTTCCTGTAGAAATTCTGCTATGACTATGGCCAGATCATCTTTCTTATGTCCACATGGACCAGAGTACATTGAAGTCTCTTTTACCTGGGCAGCATACTACTGCACTGCCCCCATCCCCCTCTCCATTCAGCGAATTCAATGGAAAAAAATACAAATTCACACAAAAGTACAAATCCATCAGGCTATTCCTGGCAAAGATCCATATATGTGCAGAAAATAAAGTAATCATATCAGCCTCAGAAATTCAGAGCTCTCACACCTGTATGTCATAGAAACATCCACTCACATGCATGTCCTAAAGAAGACAGAACAAAGGACAGTTCACTGTAACGTGTATGGAATGGCCCTGGGCTGAGGTCAAGAGACGTGGGTCCTCATCCCAACTCCATGGTTGGCAAATAACATGTTCAATACACTGGGTCTCAGGGTTTCACTGCTCAATAATATTAATTCTACTAGGATTACTCCATAATTGTCTAATACAAGGGGAAAATCATTATAAGCTTAATTTTTTTTAAAGATTTTATTTATTTATTTGACAGCGCGAGCACAAGTAGGGGGAGGGGCAGGCAAAGGCAGAGGGAGAAGCAGGTTCCCCAATGAGCAGGGAGCCCGATGCTGAATTCAATCCCAGGACCCTGGGATCATGACCTGAGCCGAAGGCAGACGCTTAATGACTGAGCCACCCAGGCGCCCCTTGAATCAGTATGTTTGATAACTACTGGAAATAGATTTCCAATTAAAGTAAATATTGGTATACGTATAGCCAAATTAAAAATTAAGCTTATGGGGCACCTGGGTGGCTCAGTCGTTAAGTGTCTGCCTTTGGCTCAGGTCATGATCCCAGGGTCCTGGGATTGAATTCAGCATCGGGCTCCCTGCTCAGTGGGAAGCCTGCTTCTCCCTCTCCTTCGCCCCCTGCTTGTGTTCCTGCTCTCGCTATCTCTCTGTCAAATAAATAAATAAAACTTTTAAAAAAAAAAATACTGATTCAAATATCAACTTCTTTCAGTTTAAATTCTTTGCCATTTGATATGTTTAATTTTCTGTGACCTAAAAAAGACAGTGGCCAAAAGCTCAAATCGAAATAAATATTAGAAAGAACCAATTAAGCATCTAAGCCATTTTTTTGGTAACTGACAGTTAAGTCCCTGAACTGCTTAACTGACAATTAGTAAGAAACACAATAAATAGCCTTTGGAGTCTAAAATATCTTTGTTCTGGGGCCCCTGGGTGGCTCAGTCAGTTAAGCATCTGCCTTCAGCTCAGGTTATGATCCCAGGGTCCTGGGATTAAGCCCCATGTTGGGCTCCCTGCTCAGCAGGGATTCTGCTTCTCCCTCTCCCTCTGCTGCTCCCCCTGCTTGTGCTCTCTCAGTCACTTGCTCTCTCTCAAATAAATAAAATCTTAAAAATAAATAAATAAATAAATAAATAAATAAATAAAATATCTTTCTTCGATCATCTGAGGTCAGTAAAAATATAATATAAAGACCTTGGATATGTAGGTCCACAAGAAAAAAGGGTAACAGACAATGTGAGTAATAAAGTCATGTACTACAAAGATATGTCATCAAAAATATATATACACAGGGGCACTTGGGTGCCTCAGGTGGTTAAGCGTCTGCCTTCTGCTCAGGTCATGATCCCAGAGTCCTGGGATCAAGCCCCACATCAGGCTCCTGGCTCAGCGGGGAGCCTGCTTCTCCCTCTCCCTCTGCCTCTTCCCCTGCTCATGCTCTCTCTCTATATATATCTCTGTGTCTCAAATGAATAAATAAAATATTTAAAAATAAAATAAAAGTATATATACACACAGGTCCTTATATTAGTTAAGTTTCAAAAATGTTTTAAAGTTATCTCAAAGGACCGGGGCACCTGGGTGGCTCAGTCGTTAACCGTCTGCCTTCGGCTCAGGTCATGATCCCAGGGTCCTGGGATCGAGCCCCGCATCAGACTCCCTGCTCAGCGGGAAGCCTGCTTCTCCCTCTCCCACTCCCCCTGCTTGTGTTTCCTCTCTCGCTGTGTCACTCTCTGTCAAATAAATAAATAAAATCTTTAAATAAATAAAATAAATAAAAAAATAAAAAATAAAGTTATCTCAAAGGACCAAGTCTTTCATATAGGTGCTGTAATATACCCCCCCCGAGATATTCACAAAATATTTGCCAGGAATGAGTCACAGTTATATATATGATACAAGGCTTCAGTGTGATGAATGGTAAAGGGCAAGGAGGATGGGAAGGTGGGAGAGAAGAAAGGAAGAGAAAGCATCTCCTTTAAAAACTCTATATTTTACAAAAGTTAGAAGCCTAAGCACCAAAAGAAGCTTTTGCTTCCCAAAGCACCTGAAAGACCACAAAGATAAATGGACACTGAAGAACAACTCCTAATACGGACCCAAGTTAGAGAAGATCCTGCAATGCCATCTGGAAGCCATGGAAACAGACACCTTGTGTCCTCTGACATGTGCTCCTACAGAATCCCACTGCATCTTGGGGCACCTGGGTGGCTCAGTCAGTTAACCGTCTGCCTTTGGCTCTGGTCATGATCCCGGGGTCCTGGGATCAAGCCCGGCATTGGGCTCCCTACTCAGTGGGGAACCTGCTTTTCCCTCTCCCTCTACCCCTCCCCCCTGCTCTCATGCTCTTTCTCTAATAAATAAATAAATAAAATCTTAAAAAAAAAAAAAGAATCCCACTGCATCTACAAGCTATCCTGCCCTAAATAGAGCCTAACAGCCAGAGAACAGACCATGGCTCAGTGGCAGCCCATGTAGGTGCCTTCAGCCTCTATACAGCTCTAACAGAAAGCCATAGCAAAGCTCTAGAATAGTAAACCCACAGCTGCTGGTGACCTCACAGCCCCAGAACATACTTCAAGGGCAGAGCCAAGCACTTAGGCTAGGGGGTCCCCTGCAGACCCATTCCCATGCTGTGTCCACACTCCCGAGCCCACCTTTGCTTCCTACCACATGGTTGGCAGTGCCTGCTGTCAGGAAGAGAGTGGGGGCTAGGGATGGGGTAGAAGGCCAGGGTAGAAAACTGCTGTTAACCTCAAGTACTCTTGAGTTTCAGTCTCAGTTTAGCTATTGCTTGTTGGAAGATCACAAACATGTTCTCTGCCTCACTTACACTCAGCTTCCCAGTCAACTTAGCAAGGATGTTATCTCAAAAAACACACGTTACTGTAAGTGATGTGTTTTGACAGAATATTAACATGTCCACGGGAACTAGGGAGACCGCAGTTAACTGAAATCTACCAATACTCTTGTGAGCAATAAAACCTACTGCTTCTTACACCTTCCTTTTTATCAAAACAATAAAAGAAGCAAAGCTCATGAATTTGGAGGTTTTTTTCTCTTATATTTCCTCCTGCCACACCATCCATCCCTACCTCCTCCAACCTACCACCCTGCAACAGTAAAAGTATTAATGATAACTGAAACAGAAGATATAAGAAGGCAGATGCAAAAAGTCTGCACAATCTACAGACTGCTTTATTTGCTGCTAAAATATAAAGTTTTCATGCATACACCACATTCGCATTTCCAAAGAAAAAGTCCAAATACCTGAAATTGTACAACTGTTTTTGGTAACTTCATTAGAAGATCAAATGCTAAAATCTTCACTTCTTCAAAAGTGCTGGTAAAACATTCCATTAGTGTTTGGAAACGACCTACATCAATATCATGACTCAGCTGATACACTGTTTGGACTTGACCTAAAAATAGAAAAAGATTTAAAAGTGAATACAAGAGGGGGCACCTGGCTGGCTCAGTTGATACAGCATGTGACTCTTGATCTCAGACTCGTAAGTTCAAGACCCACGTTGGGCATGGAGCCTCCTTAAAACAATAAAAATGAATTATTTTAATAATTAATAAAAAAGGGAAATCAACATGTGGAAGTTATCTGACCAAATTTATAGAAAACTGGCGCAAAGATTCACACTTCACAGTTTACCCACATTAGCATAAAAGAATAATTTTTCCTTAATTTATTTCCTAAAATGATAAAATAAATATTAAAGGTCCCCAAATAAAAAGTACTTCTTAAAATTTTGTTTAAAACCACTTCATTCTCTTTCAAAAGGTTATATTGTATATAAAAGATTCCTAAGTTAGCTTTCAAATAAAATGAAATAACTTTAGGAATATGTCTTTTAAAAAATCTTTGTAAAATGTCTTGACCTAGAATCCAAAGTCCTACCATGTCTTAGTTAAACCGACACAGAATAATCGATATGATGATGTATCCTAGTAGAATTACTGGGCATCAAAGATAAGGAGTCTTCTGGCTATTCAGGCACAAAGTTCAATTCATCTCCAAAATGAATTGGGAGATGGGAAAACGTTAGGCTGGCTTTACTCTTTGCCTTAGCAACATGTAGTGCTAGAAGACAGTGGAGCAACCTCCTCAGGGAAAGGTATGGTGAAAATTATACATCAAAATCCTACTCTAGGGGCACCTGGGTGGCTCAGTCGGTTAAGCATCCAACTCTTGATCTTGGCTCAGGTCATGATCTCAATGTCGCGAGACCCAGCCCTGCGTTGGGCTCCACACTCGGGGGAGTCTGCTTGAGGATTCTCTCTCCCCCTCTGCCCCTTCCCCCGCATGCCCTCTCTCTCTCTCGAATAGTAAATAAATAAATATTTAAAAAATCCTACTCCAGCATCAAGTACAATGTCAATAGAAGCATTTTTGAATGTGTGAGAAATTAAGAACTATATTTCCCCCAAAACTCTTCTCAAAATGAAGATGAATTTCAGCCAATGAAGAAATGAACAGAAAAACTATCACAAAAGAATGATGGCAGTCACCAAATCCATTTAACTCCAAGATTTAAGACTAAACAATTGTGGCAATAATGGGTTTCACAGCAGAATGTAAAGAACATTTAACAACATTTAACAAATTAACCACTCTGATAACACCTGAAAACATGCCTATGCTAATTTGAAGAATGATGTTCAATATAATATGCATTTCTTATTTAATCTTAACTCACAAGTTAGTGTGACCCGTGAAATTCCTAGAGCAAGTAAATGGACTTTTTGTCACTTCATTCACACTTCTGCTTAAACTTGCTTCTTTTCCAATTCAGATGCTTCTAATTCCTTTTTCTTGCCTTACTGCTCTGGCTAAAGTTTTCAGTATATAATGGTGATCAGGAGTGGTCAAAGCGAGCTTCTGTGTCTTGTTCCTGATCACAGAGGAAAGACTTTCAGTCTTTTACCATTGAGTTTGGTGTCAAGTGTGGGTTCTTCATGAATGTCCTTTATCCTATTGAGGAAGCTCCCTACTATTCCTAGTTTCTTGAGTGTTTATCATATCAGGATGCTGAATTTTGTCAACAGCTTTTCTGCATCAATTGAGATTATCATGGGTTTTTTTCCCCTTCATTTTAATGTGGTATATTACATTGACTATTTTTTTCTTAACATTGAACACCCTTGCATTCCTGGGATAAATTCCACTTAGTCATGGGTATAATACTTTTAATATGGTGTTGGATTTGGTTTGCTTGTATTCTGTTAAGAATTTTTGCATTTATGTTCATAAGGGATACTGGCCTATAGTTTTCTTTTCTTGTGGTGGCTTTGTCTGGCTTTGGTACCACGGTGATGCTGGCTTCACAGAATGAGTTTGGAAACGTTCCCTCCTGTCCAATTTTTTAGAAGAGTTTGTTAATGTTAATTCTTTAAACATTCGGTAGAATTCACCAGTGAAGCCACTTCCTCTGGACTTTCCTTTGCTGAGAGGCTTTTGACTACTGACCCCCACCTCTTATTTGTTACAGATAACAAATTTTCTATTTAAGTCAGTAATTTGTATGTTTCTAGGAATCTGTCCATTTCATTTAAGTTACCTAATTCATTGAAAATACAATCCTTATTTCTGTAATGTCAGTAGAAATGTCTCTGCTTGTATTTCTGATCTTAGTTATTTGCACCTTCTTTTGTTTTATTCTTAGTATAGCTACAATTTTGCTGACCTTTTAGAAAAACCAACTTTTGTTTTCATTGATTTCTCTATAATGTTTTCCTATTCCCCATTTCATTTATCTCTGTTCTAATCTTTATTTCCTTCCTAAGGCTGCTAGATTTGGGTTACGTTTGCTCTTCTTTTTCTCATTCCTTGAGGTGTAAAGTAGCTTATTGATTTGAGATCTTTTCTCCTTTTTAATTAGGGATTTACAGCTCTAAAGCTCCCTTTGAGCACTGCTTTCGCTTCATCCCGTAAGTTCTGGTAAGTTATGCTCTTGTTTTCATTCTTCTCAAAGTATTTTCTAATTTCCTTTGTGATTTCTTCTTTGACCCACTGGTTGTTTAGGAGCTCTGCTCAAATCTGAAACCTTCTCTGACACCACTGTATGAAACAGCTCCCCATCCTCCTAGACACTCTATATTCCCCCCACTTTCCTTCCTGAAATATTTTTTCATAATACTTATCTCCATCTGATATTCTATGTATTACTTGTTAATTTATTGTCTGTCTCCCTTCACTAAACTATCTAAGCTCAAAAATAGGAAGCATTTTGTTTTGTACACTGCATATTGTTAGCTGCCTGACATATAATAAGCATTAAATAAACATTTGCTAGGCAAACCCTTTTAATAAAATCGTGGAATCCAATTTTTCACCATGAATACTGTGACATTTATTCTAAGTGAAAAAGGTACACGTGGCTTATTCTTCTTGAACTAGGATATACTTGAGGAAAGGTAGAAACCATTTTGACTAAACCCAAATCAGAGTCCTTCAAAAAATAACATAAAAACCCACATTCAAGTTCTTGAGATAAAGGTAAAGAATGAATTTATGTTTTCCATCCTGTAATTCATGGTCATGCCTCTTTAGCCTCCTTTAAAGCTCATGGCTAAAGGGGTGCCTGGGTGATTTCAGCTCAGGTCATGAGATCCAGTCCTGCATCAGGCTCTGCTCTGGGCATGGAGCCTGCTTAAGATTCTCTCTCTCTTTCTCTCTCTCTCTCTCCTTCTACCCCTTCCAACCCCCTCTCCCTCTCTAAAAACTAATAAATAAATAAAGTTAATGGGTAAAGGATGGCTTGCTCCATTTGCATTAACTCCCAGTTGTTTAATTAACATAATTACTGTGATATCAGTCACTGCCCAATTATATGTGACTAATTCATTAGGAAGATGACTCAGGTTATTCACTTTTTATGTTTATTTTTTTATTTTTATTTTTTAAAGATTTTATTTATTTATTTGAGAGAGAGAGTACATGAGAGGGGCGAGGGTCAGAGGGAAAAGCAGACGCCCTGCCGAGCAGGAAGTCGGATGCGGGACTCGATCCAGGGACTCCAGGATCATGACCTGAGCCAAAGGCAGTCGCTTAACTGACTGAGCCACCCAGGCGCCCGGGTTATTCACTTTTTAAAATACACTTAAATATATTAAACTACTCTCTCAATTAAAAAATTACCAGTGCAATTCAGGCTAGTGTTATTTTTTTTTTAAAGATTTTATTTATTTATTTGACAGAGACACAGCAAGAGAGGGAACACAAGCAGGGGGAGTGGGAGAGGGAGAAGCAGGCTTCCCACAGAACGGGGAGCCTGATGCGGGGCTCGACGCCAGGACCCTGGGATCATGACCTGAGCTGAAGGCAGACGCTTAACGACTGAGCCACCCAGGTGCCCCAGGTTCAGGCTAGTGTTATTTCCCATACACCTAGGTGCAACCATAACTATACTAAACATACAGAAAAATTTTTGTTAAATGGATAATCAATCACTCTCAGGTAAAACCTTATTTTCTAAATTCAGTTACAGTAAAACTGAAATTCCTTTAACTGATGGATACCACTGTATTCATCTTCTGTGCATGCTGTAACAAATTACCATAAACCTGGGGGCTTAAAACCACAGAAATCTACTTTTTCACCATACTGGAAGCCATTTTGACTAACGTCCAATCAGTCCGATATGAAGGTGCCGGTGGGGCCATGTGCACTCTAGAGGCTCTAAGGGAAAACTCATTCTTTGCCTTGTCCCACTTCTGGAGGCTGCCAGCATTCTATGGCTTGAAGCCATATTGCTCCAATCTCCACATCCACTGTCACAGTGACTCCTCCTGTTCTGTGTGTCATATCTCCCTCTGTTCCTCTAACAACAACAGCTGTGGTGGCATTTAGGCCCACCCAGAAATTCCAGGATTATCTCATTTTAAGATTCTTAATTTAATCATATCTGCAAAGACCTCCTTTCTACATAAGGTTCACATTCACAGGTTCTAAGAATTTGATGATATCCTTCGTAGGTTGCTTTTCGGCCTACCACACTTATTATCTTAATCGGGTGATCAAATTTATCATCATGAATAACAGGACAACCCAAACTCATGCACCTCCTGATAAGATGCCCAGAGAAGAACACCACATTACCTCTGCTATATTCCTGCCCAAAATGCCCAACCTGAATCAATCATGAGGAAATGATAAGGCAAACCCAACTGAAGACACATTCTCACAAAATGTTAATGTCATGAAATAAAAAATTTTCCAGATTAAAGGAGGCTAAAGAGGCATAACAACGAAATGCACTGTGTAATCTTGGATTGGTTCCCAGATCACAGTACAAATCTCCCTTTTCTAAAAAAGGCCACTTATTGGGACAACTGGCAAATTTTGTTATGGATTATATATTAGATAACAGCATCATGTCAACATTAAATATGCTGAATTTGATCATTGTGTCATGGTTAGAAAATTAATGAAATGGAGATAAACCAAATATAGCAAAATATTAATAACTGATGAATTAAGGTAGAGGGTACATGGCTGTTCATGAACTATTCTTGAAACTTTGCTGTTGTTGGTTTGAATCTTTTCAAAATAAAAACTTGAAAAAAAAAATGGTGTTCTTCAAATGAAGCAAGGCTGTATTAGCAGCAAAAAACTGTCCTCCTCCCTGCCAAAAATTTATACTTTGCCTACAATTTAAACTAAAAAAAATAATAATAATAATAAGGCAGCTATAGTGTAAAGCTCCCTGGTCCTCTGGCCATCCCCTCCAATAGCAGGATATTTTTCTATTTGACCACAGTCAGGAAAACTGAGCACAAACAAGAAATCCACATCAAAATGTACACACTCAAGTACAGAGATAAAAAGAACTATTTGTTGTCAAAAAGGGAAAAAACAGACTCAGAAGGAAGCTAACTGTTCATCCTCTTGAGTAACCCACAGGAGAAATAAAGGGTATCACTAAACCAGAATGCCTGGAAATGACATCCTCATGTTGTCTTTCTGAAACCAGATTGAGACTTATGAAACTAACAGCATATAAGGGAAACCACCTTTTAACCACAAAGACTCATTGAGGAATGCTATACATAAACTATTATTTTTTTAATTTTTAAAACTTAAAAACAGATTGTACACTATCTTCAAACAGCAACACATGAATTGGGGGTTAAGAGAAGCAACTCTTCTCATAGTAAGCATAATCCATGAAAACTGGAGTTTTGGGTTGGGAAATAATGATCACTGAAAACAACTTCTCAGCCTTACATCTTTTACTAACAAGTTTAATTATGTCCAAGTAAGAATTACATACTGAGAATAAAACCTCCCATAAGAACCTAAACAAAAGACAACAAAACTAAAACTTAAAGTAAAACAAAATGTTGAAAAAGTATATATTCTTACTTTCCCCAAACATTATTGAAAGCTTACCTTCTGGGACAGGAAAAACTTCAGCTATTGAGCCTAAAATGGTTAAGGCTGAAAATCTAGTTGGGTAGGAAGACCCAGGAAACAGTGCTTCAAAAAGACGGCTGCAAATGGATGACATGAAATTCTAAAAAAAAAAAAAAAAAAAAAAATTACAATAAGTATAATCTTTAACTCATAATAGATTATTTTCAAAGTAACATCTTTAAGAGTGGGGTTCTTTTTTAACTAACAGGGAAAAGATTTTTAAAAACAATACTAGTTATTTACTTTGCTTGACAATTCAGACTGGTACCCCTGACCATAAGCTATATCATGACTTCAATGAACCCTACCTTTGTAGGGTTGACAAGAAGTACAATTCCTATTGTCGTCCACACAAGAAAATCCAATACTCAGCACCCATTTTTGGTGAAAGCAAGATCTGTGCTAAAGTATATGAATATTGGTTTTCTTCACCAGAGATGTTCAGGCATCAAAGGTATGTATATTTTTTTTAGGTTTTTAAATAACCAAAAAAAATCCAATACAGACTACTTGATAAATATAGTAAGTACAATACTTGATAAATGTGGCTATAATGACACAATTCATAAAGATCCAACTATTCCATTGTCTTCTATATTCCCCTTTGATACTCTTGCTCCTCTACCATTGTTTATATAAATAATAAAAAAATGCAAACTTTTAGTAAAATGCAATTTAAAAAAAGAATGGGAAATAGTTTATCCAAGATAAAGTCTTCTTTCTCTAGTTAATAATTATTATTACTATTTCTGGATACGACGGAACAGAAAACCAGAAAACTTATAAGGAAAAGCTGTGATTCTCAAGCAGCGCACATACACCGCTATGCCCTAACAATGTATATTTGTAACTGAGCAGCACATAAGCAGTTTTAGTCCCAACTGATTCCAGAAAAGATCTCAGCATTCATTTCTTTGGTCAATGACATACAGTCTTGGGGATTTATCCTATAGGCCCTTACAAGACCTAAGTAAGAGTTTGTTAGTTTATTAAATCTATTGGGTTTCAAGGGAATAGGGTAGTTATTGAGAATATCCTAAACTTATTTTAATTATAAATGAATAGTACAGTATTCATGTTAAAGGGCAACAAGTTCATCCTATGGGAATGATCTTATCCTAACTGTAGTACCATTTATATTTTTAGAAATAGTTCTTTCCTTCAACCACACTGTAACCATAGTGGAGGCATGGATCACAGTTTATACATTTATATCCCCAGTCCTAAGCATATTGTCCTGAACATATGGAACGGGCTCAATATATGCTCTTGTCACTTTTAACAGCTCCTAGTGAGGCTTCCAAATACTTTAGCCTAGCACTCAAAATCTCTTTAGATTACTCAGGCATCTTCTCTATTTGCCTTTAAGGTTTTTTGCTGTGTTATATAGCTAAAGCTATTGAAATGTAACATTAAAATTATTAAAAGTGATAGATTTCAAATTGCACATACCCATACAATACTTAATTCTATTCTGCTACATTGTCAAGCACAGGAAATGAAACAATTTCATTGTTTCATTGAAACTACAACAATTGTTAGTTGAGGGAACTCAACTACAGATATGAAATTGATTCGTACTTCCAGCTTTGTCACTTGTTAGCTGTGTAACTACAATATGAAATTCCTGAACCTCCACAGCAGCTTCCTTATAGATAAAAATAAAAATACTTTACTTGTATTCCTAGGGAAACAAAGAAACTTTATTTATTTGTACATACACACACGTTAGTCAAGCTCTGTTTTGATTATTGGCGAACAACAAAAAACATCCAATACGCAGCCCCAACCTGACTTTCAAACTCATTTCCTGTTACATCTCTTTTGTTGCTCCAAGCATCTTAGGTGTCATTCATTCACAACAGTGAATTCACTGTTCCCCAAATTCTCCCCGTACTTTCTTACCTCCAAGCTTTCAATTAAGCAGGGACTAGGGAAAAAAACTATTCAGATTTTAGAAGTGGGAGCAGATGTACACAGGGGTCTAACTAGCACTTAGTAGCTGAGGGACCTTGGGCAGGTTACTCAACTTTTCTAAGCTTTAGTTTCTCATTTTCTTTTTAAGTAAGCTCTATGCCCAATGTGGGGCTCAAATTCACAACCCTGAGATCAAGAGTTGCACGCTCCATCGACTGAGCCAGCCAGGTGCCCCAGTTTTCACATTTGTTAAGTGAGGATAATAATGCCTATCTCACAGCTTTGTTATTAAAGATTTAAATGAGAATGAGGGTACAAAGCATTTTGTAAATTTAAAAGTACTCAAGCTAATAATATCAGTTATTTAGGCATGAAATAATCTCCTTCACTAGACTAGAAGACATCTTTTCCAACTAACAGCCTCCTCTTCTCCCCCAGGACTTAGTCTATTGATTGGCACCAAGCCTACCACACACCATGCACGACACCCACTATTATAAAGATGATAAGTAATTTAGTGCCAAAGTCACAATCCCCAAAAGCCACAGATGACTATAGTTGGGAGGAAATATCAGAACCATGAGATTGACTCAGATTAAGACTCTAAAGGGCTAGTTTTCAAAACCATATATTCACAAGGTCAAACTAAGAAACCATGCATACGTGAAAATTCAGAATGTCAATCCACAACACAGGTTTTGTGTTTTAAGTACTTAACTCAGTTTTCACAAATGTCATTTTACCCCTTAAAAAAAGAAGCAAAAGAACTGTTTTCTTAGAATGTCTAGCAATGATCTAAGAAAGGCTAAAAAATAATTTGTCCACACACAAAGCAAGTGCTCAGAATACACTCTAGTCACTTTTAATGACTACCAGCGAGGCTTTTTAGGGTGATTTAGAATTTACAAACAGCTTTCTCATTTAATCCTCAAAACCAGCCTTTTCAGAGAGGTTACTCATCCCACTTACAGTCAAACAGACTCATCAAGTAAGCCAACTAATCAGTGGCAGAAATGGGACTAAACCCATGTCCTTCAAGTTTAGGTTGTCACTTTCCAATCTTCACTGTTGGAATTTTTACAAAGATGAAGCTGACTTCATCCTTGGTATAGGAATATGCTTCTTTAGATGATTTTTTACCTTTCAAGTATAAAATTGAAAACTAAGGGCCATCCATACTAATGCTTAGAGTAGGTAGTGAGTGTATCATGGCTCCAATGTATCATTAATTTATTACAATTGTTTCCCTACATGAAATACAACAGATGAGCTCTGTTCTCTATCTGGGTCTTAGAAGACAGTAAGATTTCTGCTTCTGAGAGGCTATATTTGGAGTGAGAAACCAGTGAAAAACTCATTCTGTTCTGATGGGACAGACATGTAAGGTTGTCAAACTAAGCTCTGGCCCAGACTGGAGCTGCTATATCTGGGGTTCCATCATCCATCCCATTAACACAGTGACCCGAAACCTAGCCCCACTCTTCACGCTCCCTTCAAAATGGGATGGACAGGAACCTCCACAGCTGGACCACAGACCAGGAGGCACCAATATCAAGCCACTGTAAGTCCTATTAGTCTAAATAGGACTTACAGGACCAGATACAGCAATCTTCTACTCTGGAGAGGGATGGAGGACTTCTGGGCCAGCAATTACCTTTTTCTCAAAGTACTGAATTCATGTAGCCCACATTAAGCTGTAAAGGATTGAGGTTAACCCATTACTGTTATTCTGTAAGAGGCCTCAAGTCCAGCACTGGTTCCACGACTCAGGGTACCTTAAGAGAAGTATCAAAGCACCAGAAGGAGTATGTAAAACTAGCTTGAAGGAAAGAAACACAGAAACAACACCATCCACCATGAGACTTCCATTTATTTCCCTTTAATGTTTATTCATAATTATTCTATGTTTCTTAAATACCCATAAGTCTAGAAAAAGATCACCTACCTTATATTGCTGTAAAGAAAGAGAAGGGTGCTGTTTGGTTAACTCATTATCTGATTCATGTTTGGATCTACTTTGCTCCAGTTTATAAAGCACCTGAGAACTTTCCTGTATCCTACAAAACAACTTTTGAGAAAAAGAAAAATGGAGCATATGTAAGCCATTTTTAATCTTAAATGTCAGTCTAAAAAAAGGAAAAGGACAAATTTTCTAAATTCTTTAGACTAAAACTTCAAGCAAAGAGAGTACTGATTTTAATATTTACAGTTTCTGAGAGAAAATTAACACATATTTTTTAAAACCAAAAACAAACTACTACTGCAAACCAGAATACAGTCATTAAATGGTAGTTCTATTTCCTTTAGATTGGCATGAAACTAAAGATATATTCACTTCTATACTCTACCAATTCTTCATCCCATAAATGAGGCATGTGATTAAGTCGAGTTGAATCAGTCAACAATGACCATTTCACGAGGCCCTTAAATGGTAGAACTACAAGGGCATCTTACTTCCTCTCACCAAAGTTTTCTTAAAATACCTTTCACCCTGAAAGATCCATCACTACATTTTTTTTCTTTCCAAAAAAAAAAGAACTCAAGTTTGATTTATTTTACACCAAAATGAAAGGGCTTTTACACCCTGGACTTGAATCTCAAGCGTAAACTCTATGGAATCACAGAATGGTTCACAGATGGGCCATGAAGGGATGTGGCAGTCCAAACCCATGACCATTATTTCCACACACTCCCAAAATCAGAGCTCTTCACAAAAATGATTTGCAGAGCAGAATTCACAACTTTCCTGTACTTTCTGATGAGAAATTCTACCTTTTTAAGAAGAGAACAAATCTGCTGTCGCACTCCTGGGGACTGACTGTTCAGATTGTATGTGATAAAGAATTGAATCCACTGCATTTCTTCCATGGAAACGATTTCTGTGCTTCGATTACTTTCACAAAGCAAGCCTAATGTATCTATCCGTACCTAAAACACATCAAGCAATAAAATGTTAATTTTTCAATGAAATAAGCAAATAGTAAACTACTTGACATGTTTATTTATATAAGCTACCAAAGGGAAAAAAAAAAACAGTAAACCCCAGTTTACCTATGTATACTTCAGTAAGGTTCCCTCATCCCAAAGATCCTAGGGTTATAACTCATATAAAATTATTTTATTAAATGCGTAAATTGGGTATTTGTAAGCCAACAGTCTTAAAGATTCTTATTCCATGGTAATGCTCAACTTCATTCTTTTTTCTCTACCCCAGGACCTCATCACTCCTTTTTTTTTTTTTTTTTAAGATTTTATTTTATTTATTTGACAGAGAGAGACAGCAAGAGAGGAAACACAAGCAGGGGAGTGGGAGAGGAAGAAGCAGGCTTCCCGCAGAGCAGGGAGCCTGATGTGGGGCACGATCCCAGGACGCTGGGATCATGACCTGAGCCAAAGGCAGACACTTAACAACTGAGCCACCCAGGCGCCCCCCTCATCAGTCACTCTTAGATTACTGTCATGCACATCTAACCAGGCTCCTGGTTTCTTTTTGCTCTCACACTGGAAACTCATCTCTGTTGCCATTAATTCTACTTCCTTGCTAGAGGCAGAATGGCTCTGGTGCCTGCTTACCAATTGAATGAAATCTGAAGTCTTCAGCCTAGCATTGGAGGCCTCAATAAAATGGACCAAACACTCTACTCCTGCCAAACAACATCCTAAATCATCCTCCAGGCCTTGTTTTGTATTCTCCCATTGTGGTGTTTGTTTTGTGGGGTTTTTTTTAATCATTTTTTTTCTTCATCATAATAAGTGTACTCTTTAATTCCTATCCCCTATCTACTCCAACCCCCCAACCAACTCCCCTCTGGTAACCATCTTTTTGTTCTCTATAGTTCTTTTTTTTTTTCTTTCCTTTGCGTGTTTCTTAAATTCCACATATGAGTGAGATCACATTGTATTTGTCTTTCTCTGACTGACTTATTTTGCTTAGCATTATACTCTCTAGCTCTATCCATGTTGTTGCAAATGGCAAGATTTCATTCTTTTTTATGGCTGAGTAATTCCATTGTGTGTGTGTGACCTCCTCTTTATCCATTCATCTATCCATGGACACTACAGCTGCTTCCATAGTTTAGCTATTGTAAATAATGTTGTATGTATCCCTTCGAATTAGTGTTTTTAGATTTTTGGGGTAAAAACCCAGTAGTGTGATTACTGGATCATAGGGTAGTTCTATTTTTAATTTTTTGAGGAACCTCCATACTGTTTTCCACAGTGGCTGCAGTAGTTTGCATTCCCACTAATAGCTCACAAGGGCTCCTTTTTCTCCACATCCTTGCCAACACTTGTTGTTTCTTATGGTTTTGATTTTAGCCATTCTGACAGGTATGAGGTGTTATCTCATTGCAGTTTTGATTTACATTTCCGTGATGATGAGTGATGTTGAGCATCTTTTCATGTGTCCGTTGGCCATCTAGATGTGTTCCTTAGAGAAATGTCTGTTCATATCTTCCACTCATTTAATTGGATTTGTTCTTTGGGTATTAAATTGTATCAGTTATTTATTTATTTTGGATACTAACCCTTTATTGGATTATGTCATTTGCAAATATCTTTTATCATTTAGTGGGTTGCCTTTTAGTTTTCTTGACTGTTTCCTTTCCTGTGCAGAAGCTTTTTATTTTGATGAAGTCCCAATAGTTTACTTTTGCTTTTGCTTCTCTTGCCTCAAGAGACATATCTAGAAAAATGTTGCTATGGCCAATGTCAGAGAGATTACTGCCTGTGCTCGCTTCAAGGATTTTTATGGTTTTAGGTCTCACATTTAGGTCTTTAATCCATTTTCAGTTTATTTTTGTGTATGGTGAAAGAAAGTGGTCCAGTTTCATTCCTTTACATGTGGCTGTCCAGTTTTCCCAGCACCACTGTTGAAGACACTGTCTTTTTCCTATTGTATATTCATCCCTCCTTTGTCAAAAATTAATTGACCATATAACTGTGGGTTTATTTCTGGGTTTTCTGTTCTATTCCACTGATCTCTGTGTCTATTTTCATGCTAGCACCATACTATTTAATTACTACCACTCTGTAATATAACTTGAAATGTAAAATTGTGATACCTCCAGTTTTATTTTTCTTTTTCAAGATTGCTTTGGCTAGGGGCACCTGGCTGGCTCATTTGGTTAAGGATCTGCCTTTGGCTCAGGTCATGATCCCAGAGTCCTGGGATCAAGCCCCACATCAAGCTCAAGACTGCTTCTTCCTCTGCACCGCCCCCTCACCTCCCGCTCATGCTTGTGTGTTCTGTCTCTTGCTCTCCCTCTCTCTAAAATAAATAAAATCTTAAAAAAAAGATTGCTTTGGCTATTTGAGGTCTTTTGTGGGCCCCATACAAATTTTAGGATTGTTTGTTCTAGGGGCGCCTGGGTGGCTCAGTTGGTTAAGCGACTGCCTTCGGCTCAGGTCATGATCCTGGAGTCCCGGGATCGAGTCCCACATCGGGCTCCCTGCTCAGCGGGGAGTCTGCTTCTCCCTCTGACCCTCTCCCCTCTCGTGCTCTCTATCTCTCATTCTCTCTCTCTCAAATAAATAAATAAAATCTTTAAAAAAAAAAAAAAGGATTGTTTGTTCTAGTTCTATGAGAAATGCCATTGGTATTTTGATAGGGACTGCATTAAATGTGTAGATTGCTTTGGGTAGTATAGACATTTTAACAATACTTGTTCTTCCAATCCATGAGCATGAAATGTCTTTCTGTTTCTTTGCATTTGTCTTGAATTCCTTTCATCAATGTTTTATAGCTTTCAGAGTACAGGTCTTTCACCTCTTTGGTTAAATTAATTCCTATTTTATTGGTTTTGATGCAACTGTAAATAGGACTGCTTTCTTAATTTCACTTTCTGCTGCTTCATTATTCGTGTATAGGAATGCAACAGACTTCTGTACATTGATTTTCTACCCTGTGACTTTACTGAACTCATTTATCGTTCTAGTGTTCTCCCATTTTGTGTGCTGCTCCAATGCTTCCTCTTCTTTAATCACATTTAACGCGTTCCTAATCAACACTACCTACTCTGTTCTAAGCCCCCCAAGTCCTTATGCATAAAGGAGCACTTATATCTGTATTTTTTTTTTTAAAGATTTTATTTATCTATTTGACAGAGAGAGGCACAGTGAGAGAGGGAACACAAGCAGGGCGGAGTGGGAGAGAGAGAAGCAGGCTTCCCGCGGAGCAGGGAGCCTGATGTGGGGCTTGATCCCAGGACTCCGGGATCATGACCTAAGCCGAAGGCAGACACTTAACGACCGAGCCACCCAGGCGCCCATACTTATATCTGTATTGTCTTCTAAGAGTTTCCAGTTGTTTTACACAGGTTTTCTTCTTCCTTCAACTAAAATTTAAATAGCCCGAAAAGTCTACACTTTTCACTTCTTTTTTTTTTACGATTTTATTGATTTATTTGAGAGGGAGAGAGAGTGAGAGAGAAAGCACAAGCAGGGGGAGTGGCAGACAGAGAGAGAAGCAGGCTCCCCACTGAACAGGACCCCCCCCCCAACGCAGGGCTCAATCCCAGGACCCTGGGATCATGACCTGAGCCACCCAGGCGCCCCTACACTTTTCACTTTCAGTTCATCCTCCTTACAGATCCCTTAAAACAGTGCTGGGCTCAACACAGAGGCCTCTATATTGGACTGCTAACTGAATAAATCAGGGATCTATTGTACGTATGAAATTCCCAGATATTTTGTTTACTTACTTGGCAATGCTGATGAATTAAGCCTTGTTTTATTCTTGCACTGGACACAAGGTTCCTCCAAGCATCAGTTGCAGACTGAAGATGTCCATGAGCTCTAGCTGTTCGTAGACATGCCATCAAAGCTCCCAGAGCCCCTCTACTATTGTAAGACCCTTAGGATGGAAAAGATTGTTCTTGTCTCAAAAGCACAAAATAACAAAGATAACTACTGTGCTATGCAACAACTGCCACAATTTTCATTTTGCAATTAACATTGTATTTCAAGAAATAAAAATCACAGTTTAAATTCTAACATGAATTAAAGTCCCTAGGATAAAATAATCATTATTGAAAAGGATTTGACAGTTCTTGTCTCAATCACTTCAAGTAAGCATAATCCCCTTATGTTAACTTAAAGAAATCATTATTTTTTGCTCTTTTTACCTTTTCCTTGACACTTAGAAATGAACCAGGAAGTGATTCAGGGGAAAACAATCACATGGAGACATATTTAAAACAATAACTAAAATGACTTTCAGCCAAAATTAGGGAAAACACTTTAATGGCTAAATATCATTATTTCTCTAAAAACAAACACTAAACCTCTCTACATATTTTGGAGTTACTGTTTCTCCCTAGTAAAAAAGATAAAAGGAGGATTACAAGGAGCCTGACGCTTTTGGAGGCTAGGACATCAGTCATTACTAACAGGACAGAGAACCCTGGCTCAATGGGAACACTGATAAAAAAAAAAAAAGACGGCCTTACTTCAGAACAGATTCATGAATCTTGAACTTTAGATGGCTTCTCAAAAAGGTAAGAACAATTGTTGTTAAAGACTACAAATAATGAAAAAAAACCCAACTACAAATAATGGCTTATTTTTGTGTATAGGAATCAGATTTTTCCAGCTATCTCATGGTTACTCTTTGAAAGTTTTCAATTATTTTTAGTTGTAAATACTCTTTTTTTTTTAGAGAGAATGCCTGTGCACCGCGGGGGGCGGGGGTTGGGGGAGGGGCAGAGGGAGACAAATAGAATCTTAAGCAGTCTCCATGCTCAGCACAGTGCCCAATGCAGGGCTTGATCTCACGACCCTGAGATCATGACCTGAGCTGAAATCAAGAGTTGGATGCTGGGGTACCTGGGTGGCTCAGTCGGTTAAGCATCTGCCTTCAGCTCAGGTCAGCAGGGAGCCTGCTTCTCCCTCTCCCTCTACCCCTCCCCCTACTTGTTCTCTCTCTCTCTTTCTCTCTAGCACTCTCAAAGAAATACATAAAATTAAAAAAAAAAAAAGACTTGAATGCTTAGCCAAATGACCCACCCAGGCATCCCTTGTTATAAATATTCTTAAACTACGATGTACAGTACCATATTTCTGCTTTGTTAAGCAGAATACAGTAATTTTAAGATTCACATGATAAGTCATGGTCATCATTTATATATTAATTACTGAACTATGCTTTAATGCAGAGATTCGTTCAGGGTTACTGAGTTTCAGTGGAATGTTTACCCCCTATTCTAAATGACTACAGACAGTTGTTTCTTGAAGTCACACATCTACATTTTTTTGTCTCTTCCCTAGAGACAAAAACTTGCTGCTGCCAGTTTACCTGTCTTGATCCTTGCCGAAAACAATGTTTAATTACTGTTTCAATCACTAGAATAAGCAACTTATATAAAACACTCAAACTTTCATTCCAGTCTAACAACCTAACAAATAAGAACTTGGTAAAATGAATTAAAACTAGTAAGAAAGGGAACCTTATAATAACTGGAATCAATCCTTAGCCTGTAGAAATGACTTAAGCCAAAAAAAACTCCACTCTACTCTGGAGAGGAACATTAGTCTCAATCTGAAATCTCTATCGTCAATACCCTCTTTTACTATTTACAGAAGTTGTAATATTTAAATCTGAATATGGTCCACAGCTGCCTAGCTATCTACGCTTAAACATCTTAACCAGAAATTACTGAAAGAACGATTCCTTTTCTTACCAGTTTTAGCATCAGCAGAAGTTTGAAGAATCTTTACCATGTAGCTTAAGCTTTCAGGGCTGCAGTTCAATAATTTTGGCAAGTAATAATCAATCACATAAGATTTCTGATCCAGATTTCCTTCACACAGTATAAAAAGGAGAGGAGAAACCCAAGTCTCATGCCACTCATCAATCCAAGTACTGTCGACAGCCTGGGACTTCAAATGACTCTTGTGATTTCTGAACATGGTTTCCAAGAGGTCACTTGCATAAGGTACCAAGGACTGGTCTCCCATCACCTCTAAGATTTGTGATGGAATAGTTTTAGCTAGTGCCAAAATATGTCCAATTCCTATGTAATCTACTAAACAACCAAGGCATGCGTATTTCCCTTTCACATGCCATTCCAATCGCAGAAGACTTTCAGTCAGATCACAGATGAAACGATCCACAGCCAAACCTGATGCTTTGGAATCTGACTTTTCTTTAGTGAGCTGGTGCATTTGGAGAATATTTCTGAATATAATTTTGGTTTGGTGTCTCAAAGAATCCAGTGGATGTTCCCAGTGGGTATAGACGTATTCTAAAAGTCTCCCAACTACACTTGAATTTCCATTCAGACTGTCCTTTAGGCTTGGGGAACTTGATTCAAGGACATGTATGGCTGAATTAGTCCAGGATGCCAAAATTCTAGACAGAAACAATTCCAGAGTTGATTCCTTGATCCTGAAGAGAAATGAACCATGTTATTATAAACTGACTAGTAACAGAAATTTCATTTTATAATCATCTAGATTTTAAAAATATAAAAAACAAAGAATGATCAGAAAATTCAATAATTATTAAATTTACAATGACAAAAAATTACAAACAAGGCCAAAACAGATCTCAAATTTATAAATGAATCTTTTCATCTTATAGAAGTAATCCAAAAAGGGACACAAGAAAACTTTTGGGAGTGATGGAAATGTTTATTATTTTGATTTTGATAATGGTTTCACAGGTGTTTTAAAACATACTGAGAGGGGTGCCTGGGTGGCTCAGTTGATTAAGTGACTGACACTTGATTTTGGCTCAGGTCATATCTCAGGATCATGAGATCAAGCTCCACATCAGGCTCTGCACTGGGCGTGAAGCCTGCTTAAGACTCTCTCCCTGTCCCTTTGCCCCTCCCCGCCAATCCTTCTCTAAAGAAATAATAATAATTTTTACATTCCTTTAAAATATGTACAATTTTCACATATACATAAGCTGAAAAACATGTAGAAATTATTTTAGAACACAGTACTTTTCTTCCTTTACCTACATGTTCATTACTATCAAGTTGTATCTATGGTTTGACATTTTAAGCACACAATCATTTTCAGGCATTATGAAAAAAACACCAAAATAAACCACAAAACACAATCCAATGAAGTCAAAAGAGCTGGTTACAGTTCTGGCTCAGGTGCTTATTAGCAATATACTCTTAAGTTTTAGCATTTACTTTTCTAACTTCACTTTACCTACTCAACACATTAGATTTCCTATCCTATCTATCAGACATGTGAGGCTCATACTGAATTACCTATGTTGACATTGTTTATAAACTAAAATGCAGCATTAGAGACTAAATGTTAACATTAACATTAAAAATGTTCAGTACAGGTTAACCTGCACCAATAATATCTGTAACTCTCTCCCTCCCCTCATCATTTCATCTTCTCTTGTTCTACTTTCACACCCATTTCACTGCCTATATGTTATCTTCCTTTTTTTTTTTTTAAGATTTTATTTATTTATTTGACAGAGGGAGAGAGTGCGCGCACAAGCAGGGGAGTAGCAGGCCGAGGAAGAAGCAGGCTCCCCGCTGACCAAGGAGCCCAATGTGGGACTCAATCCCAGGACCCTGAGATCCTGACCTGTGCCGAAGGAAGACACTTAACTGACTGAGCCACCCAGGCGTCCCTGTTATCTTCCTTTTAATTCAGGATTATCCTGAGCACTTTTCACGGAATTACTAAGTATACTAGTTCAGTTGCCATTTTTCAAATGTCTGACAAGCAAAACAGAATAGGAGACAGTAGCATGAAAACTCACTGTGAACTCAAGGTGAACAAGACATGCACAATATTCAAGAGCAGGGCCTCCCCACTCAGGCCCATATTTCCATTCTGCCAGTCCAACATGGTGAGTGTCCCCTGACACAGGAATAAGAGAGTTGACTGCGAGACATCAGTACAACAGAGGCTCCTGCAGCAGTTCAAAAACCAGTCGGGGATGCTGATGCAGTCCACTGAACGGAGAAGCAAATTACTAATCTAGAAGAACATAACAGAGCCAACATGTTATAAAGCCTCGACAACTTTTCAGATATTTCAAAATGTAAATCCAAAATTCCCTTTCTCCTGAAACATCCTAGCAACCTAAAGATGAGAAGCCACAAATGTTGAAATTATTATATCAAAAGGGAAAAAAATTAAATCTAAATACATGAACCATTTTTGCTGGTTTGAAGGTACTAGTAGAGCAAAACATATCGCCACCTGCAGGTGGATGAGCTTAACTAATGCTTTTCAGAGGTGATTTTAGAAATCAAATCGCTAAATTTTATCCAGTGATAAATACTTTGTGTGATCTCATAGAAGAGTACACATCTATTTGGCAAAAAGTCAGGTAAATAGCTAAAATAAGTTTCTAGTTAATATACTAAGGAAAACCTGCTAGTACTGAATATAAGAATTATAGTCCAAATTATCAATTATACTTTCCATCTGACCAAATACACTGAAAAATTGATTCTAACATGCTTCCCATCTAAAGTAAAACATTTGGGCAGCGCCTGGGTGGCATGGTCAGTTGAGCATCCGACTCCTTGTTTCAGCTCAGGTTATAATCTCAGGGTCGTGGGATCCAGCCCTGCGTTGGGCTCTGCACTCAGTGCTGAGTCTGCTTGGGATTCTCTCTCCCTCTCCCTCTGCTCCTCCTGCTCATGCTCGCTCTCTTGCTCTCTCTCAAATAAATAAATCTTTTATAAATGAATAAATAAATAAAAGTACAACATTTGGGTTATTCTTTTTTTTTTTTTAAGTAGGCTCCACGCCAAATTCACAACCCTGAGATCAAGGCCTGGACGCTTAATCAACTGAGCCACCCAGGCTCCCCTGGGTTATTAATAAAAAGGACATATTTATCAAAAAGTAATGACTTCATGTATCTATACATTAACCTCTGCATACTTTTAATATTGTATCTCTTATAATACTGAGAGATGGAACAGAACAAACAGTACTAGAAACAAACTAGAAGGATATACCCAAAAAAATGTTGATAGTGATTATCTTTGCAAGATGGATTTATAGGTGACTGCTCTTGTCTTCTTTCTGCTTTTTCTGCATTTTTGGGCTGTTTCTTATTGTAAGAGAAAAAGATCACCAGAAAGATTCTGACTATGCAGAAAGAAATTTTTAATTCACTTCTTTAAAAATATTTTTATAAAACGTGTCTAGGGGGCGCCTGGGTGGCTCAGTCATTAAGTATCTGCCTTCAGCTCACGTCATGATCCCAGGGTCCTGGGATCAAGCCCCACGTCGGGCTCTCTGCTCAGCAGGGAGCCTACTTCTCCCTCTCCCACTCCCCCTGCTTGTGTTCCCTCTCTTGCTGTGTCTCTCTCTGTCAAATAAATAAATAAAATCTTAAAAAAAACCAACAAAACCAAACACGTGTCTAATTATCAATAAAGTACAATTCTACAAAGGAGACGCACTCACCAAATCAGGAATCTTTTCAGGGGGATGAAACATAGCCTTAATAAAAAGAATAACAGCTAATCCAGACGTACTCTGAATTGTCTGTAAGAGGTCATCTATTTGACAAAAAAGTAGAGAGCATGTATTAAATGACAATAGATACTTTGATCCAGGGGAAAAAGTACATGGTGCAGGGTCAGACAGTCCTGGGTGCAATTTCTAGCATGACCACTTCCTAGGTTGAACAGACCTTGGGCAAGTTATTTAACCTCCCAGGCACCCAGCATTCTCTTCTGTAAGATGAGAAAATATAACTCCTATTTGACAGTTATTATAAGGTTTAAATGCATAATTAACATAAGGTTTTTATGCCCAGCACATAAATGCTTCATAGATGTGATTCCTTCCTCTCTCCTCTAACCCCCACTCTCTCTTCCTCTCCCCCCGGCACATGTAGTAGCAATACCACTTGTCTCTCCTGCACTGATGCCGCTCCATCCCAACCCCCACATATATTACTTCTTCTTCTTCTTTTTTTTTTTTTATAAATGAAAAGTAACTGTTTATTACTGGAGAGAAAAGTGTATACAAGAAAGTCTAGATTCTTTTTCCTCATGCACTACTTTTGTAATAAAGTTCCAGATATCAAATTTGAAGATATTTACAAGGGTACATTTTTCTTAGCATGGGACCATTTACTGTATGATGGACATTTCCTCAGAGAAATCATATATGGAAACGGAACATATTCTTATAGTTTACAAGCTTAGAACATTGTATTAACAGAAGATGATATATTTTACTGTAAAATATTATAAAAGTGATACAATTTTGTAGCTCATAAATGTTTAATTACTTGATTTGAACGGGAATGGAAAAAAAACCCAGCAAGACAGGCCTGGCTTTTAAGACTTTTTATATTCAATTCGTTCTACTTTCACATCATCTCCAATTAGCTGATACACGTAAGTGACAACTGTAGAAGCCTGGATGTCCATTAACACAAATGAAGGAATATTTGTTTCCAAGGCATTATATGCTCCAGTGGCAGAACCTGGGTTAATGTAGAATTTATTTTCATGCTCAAATGCTTCAAATTTGTGTGTGTGTCCCGAGATAAGAATGTCCACATCAAACTGCCTCTGCAACAGGGCTAAGCTCGCCATATCTCCCCATGGAATAACTTGATGCCCATGGATCAAACCAATTTAGAACTGCCCAACAGTCATAACTTTCTGTTCTGGATAATTCAGATTCTCATCGAAGTCTTCTCTCACAATATGAACATCACCAGCCAGAGTCTTGAGATAGTCATAACTCTCTTTGGTGCAAAGGTTTCCAGTACAGAGAATGTGCTGAATCTTTCCTGGCACCAGCAGTTTTTTGAATTTAGCCGGCAAACTGTTGCACCGGTGTGGGATGTGCAGGTCTCCTAATACCAACACCAACATCCTGTCACTGGGCTCCGCTCAGTCACCACCACCGCCGCTGCCTTCTTCCTCGGGCTCTATATTACTTCTTCTTAACGTGATTTCAGGGCTTGTATAAAGAGCCTGCATCAGTGTTAACTGCAAACTTTGCTATTACCAGCACTGTACCCAGTGTAACCAATCTTGGCTTGCTATCTTCTCCTTGTTTTCTATCAGCCTCTGTTTTGTGAGAAAGTTTACCAAATATGGTGAATTATTCAACCTGGGCTAAGAATCATAAATACCTACCATAAACTACCTAATAAACATCCATTCTGTCCTTTATCCCTGCTAACAGAACAGTGGCTTTGACTGGCGCATCCATGTACTCAGCCAAAGGCAGGATACTTGCTTCCTCTATCTTCCTTGCAACTGAAGGTAGCCATGAGCGTTCAGGCCAATGGGATGTAAGCAGGTACTTGGGTACTTTTGTTTTTCCTGATTAAAGGTAAGGATGGAACTGGCCTTCCTTCCTGCCTTACACACAGACATAATGTCTGGAGCTACAGCAGTCAAATGGCAACCATGAGGCAACAAATGTGGGCGTGAGATTCAACATGCTGAAGACAGCAGAGCAGAAAGGCAGAAATGTCTGGGTCCTGGCCCGCAAACAGCCATTCGGGATCACCTGCCTCTGAACTTCACGTTCTGTGGGGGCATAGGGAGGCACATTTGCTGAAGTCCCTGAAATTTAGTTTTCTGTTACCTGTAGCCAAACACTTGACTGATACGTGAAGCTTTAAAACCCTGGGGCAGAACGGCACTGGATAGCCCCATCAACTGCTCAAAAAAGAGGCTGCCTTGTATTAAAATCAGGTCTTCCCTACATTTCACCAGTCTTTTTTTTTTTTTAAATAACAAAGTCTCTTTTAAAAAGCAAATATTCTCTGAAAAGATGTCTGTAAATTGTGTCTCAAACTAAATTTCCTTTCCTTTTAATAACTACCCGAGATTCTAGCCTAAATAAATAAATAAATAAATAAATAAACTATCTGGACAAGATAGCTAGCACTTTCACTAGTTACCAGGATTCAAAACATATAAACAATGAGGTACTATTTTTTCCCCATTAGCCTAGCAAAACCAGTCAGTTACTGCTCTTTACAAACAAAAACTAAACCAATCCCAATAATCTTTTAATAAGTTAATAATACTCATGCATGCATGACCATACAGAACATGAAGTAAAGGGTAAAAAGGTAATTAACTTTTTATAAATACTTATGTGTTCAGTGTCATTTTTTTGTTAATCTTACTGTAATATCACACACTGATATAGAAAACACCCAAAACAAGTGTACAGCTTAATGAATTATTTGAAGGTGAACACTCTTGTACCCAGCATCCAAGGTGAGAAATCGAACTCAGGCACCCAGCCCAGAAGGCTTTTATGAAGAGAGACTTCCTCTTATTAACTATTTGGCTTCCCAGTAACACAGTTCATTTGGATAGAGGCAACATATGAGAGATATAGGGGGACAATGACCACCCCCCACAAGGACTACTGTTGTTACTTGAAGATAATGCCTGCTGCTAAGGAGAAATGTATGGGTTACACTCACCTTTCCAGATCTTCCATTCAAATTTGGAAATCTCTTATCAAGAATTTTCTTTTGCCACTTAAACTCTGTGGCTTTTCAACACTAAGACTGTTAGGTTTTCTTCTTTACAATACACACACCCACATTTAGAAAAGTTCTTCAACATTAGCCCTTGCAGAATTGGCACATTTGAAAGAAAAAGCATTAAAACCTCATAATCTAGGGCCTTTCCCCATTTTAAGGGGCTGGGGGAGAAGAAGTTCTACATCTCACCTACGTATCAAACATTTCATACCATTATTAGCAAAAGCTGAATGACACTCAATTATAATCATCATTTTTATGGTTTTACACTTACCATCGCTTAAAAACTTGGTGAAAATACTCAGTAATCCACACATACTTTGCCATGTGGGAGAACCGGAAGTCTTCAAATGAATTCTCTGAAAGTCTTGTATTTTCTGCACTAACATCACTGAAACTCTAGTGCCTACCAACAAGTCATTCATCAACTGCGTTTGAACTATATGATTTCCAGCAAATTTTCTATAATGAAGAAAAGACGTTATTACAAAAGAGAAGTCACATAAAAATGTCCCCATTTCTATCTCTCTACAAAAGAAACATTCCTCAAAGGGCCAAAATTCATTTTAGATTATACTAGACATTTATGCCTCTCTCTTCCATTCCCATAAACATTCCAATTATGGGGACATTTACTGCAAACTTTCAACCCTCTGATCTCAACATTTTCCTCCTTCTCAGCTAATGACTAACCTCACTTCACTTTTTTTAGAGTAAAAATAAAAGATCAAGAAAGAATGCCACAATTTCTTTCTTTCTTTCTTTCTTTCAAGACTTTATTTGTCACAGAGGGAGAGCGCACACAAGCAAGGGGAGCGAGAGAGGGAGAAGCAGGCTCCCGCTGAGCAGGGAGCCTGATGCAGGACTCGATCCCAGGACCCTGGGATCATGACCTGAGCCAAAGGCAGACACTTAACCGACTGAGCCACCCAGGTGTCCCAAGAATGCCACAATTTCTAAACTTGAACACTCTCTCAACCTTGATCCGCTTTCTTCACTTGGCTTCCAAGACACCAGGCTCTCCTCCATTTTCTCCTACTTCACCATCACTCCTTCCTAGACACCTTGGCTAATTCATCCTCTTCTCCCCAACTTCTTTATGTTACAGCTCTCCACAGCTCAGTCTTTCCTCTCCCTCTTTGGTCCAGCTACTTTGTTCCCTTGATGCTGATCTCATCTAGCTCAAAAACTTTAAATTATAATCTATATATGCTGATAATTCCCCAATTTGTATCTCCAGCCTGAATATCTCTTGCTAATCCCAGACTTGTATATGAAACTTCCTACTCAATATCTTCACTTGGATGTCTAACAGACATCTCAAACTACATGAACTCATCTTCAACTCCAAACCTGCTCCACCTGTTGGGATCTCTACTCTACAAAAACTGTCATCACCCTTAACTTCCCTCTTCCCTACTCTATCTGTCAGAAAATCCTATTGGCCCTACTTTCAAAATATATCCAGAATCAGACCACCTCTACTGCTACTCCTGGCTTAAGTCACTCTCATCTCTCCCTTGGATTACTGTAATGGCCTCCTAACTGGTCTCCCAGCTTCTATCCTTGCCCCACCCCCCTCAGTCTATTCTCAACACAGCAGAAAATAGGAAGACTGGCTACAAGTCTGTTGCAGAGTAAGAACCAGCAAATACCTGGCTTACATCTAGAGAAGGTAAAACAACATGCACAGGTAAGGCAGGAACACCATATTGCAAACAAGAGAAGTAGGTAAATGTATGAACAATGAATGCCAAATGCCACAACCTCAGCTTTCTTCACTCCCTCAGCAACCAGAATATTAAGCCAATGGTTTGATTCCATGGTGAATCTGTTACCCATGCAAAAAGACCTGATGATATTGATATCAGAGGTTTTCCAAAGAAATAGCCTAGCTAAACTAGCCTACAATAAAACCTGCAATCAACCCCACCCATATGCACAGATTCAAATCAACTCTCAGTGCCCCATCCTTAAATATGAGCGCTTGGCCAAAAATCACCAGACTTCTGACAAAAGCTTCTAGCAACGAATGACTGAAAGCATCAAACAGAAAAAAAGCAACTTAAAAGAAATAGGACTATGTAAAGATAAGAAACTATTAAAAAAAAATACTACATTAATATCCTCAAAAAGATAAGATATTTCATATTTCATTCATAAAATAAGAACCGGATGCTATAAGTAAGGAACACTCAGGGAGAAAGGAGCTCATTCTCACATTCTCCTAAGAATTTATTTGATTTTTTAAATTAAATATCAAACCTCTAAAGAATAAATTTCAATAATCAGGTCTAATATTAACAGAGAGGGATGGAATGAAGCACATTATGGAACCCTTTTTTTTTAATTTCCTTTGTACAAAGACAACACACAACCTCAAGTGTACAGGCACATACCCACAAGCATGCAAACACATAATACTTGCCTATTTTCTTTTTTTTTTTTAAAGATTTTATTTATTTATTTGAGAGAGAGAGAATGAGAGATAGAGAGCACGAGAGGGAAGAGGGTCAGAGGGAGAAGCAGACTCCCTGCTGAGCAGGGAGCCCAACATGGGACTCAACCCCGGGACTCCAGGATCATGACCTGAGCCGAAGGCAGTCGCTTAACGAACTGAGCCACCCAGGCGCCCAATACTTGCCTATTTTCTTCTGAGATTTCAATTAAACTCTTCTGCAGAAAATGAAGCACTGAAACAAAAAGAACACATAATGACAAAGCAGAACCTAAAACTGTAAACTTTAATGTCAGTATAAGAAAATATTTTAAGTTAGTGTTACCTATAATGATATCATGGTATAGAAGTAGAAATTTAAAAGGAAGGGACATGATGTACCTTAGTAATCTGCAAGACTGTACCCATTGCCAAGAAAGTGAAAAAGAACCAGTTCTAAAATGACTCATACAAACAGTTACCCCCTCAGAATAAAATAAAATAACAGGACTTACCATTTTTAAGAAGATTATTAACTCCTGCTCTACCTGTGGGGATAAAAAAATTAACACTGGTAAGGAGGCCCAGGACCAAAATTAACATCATTTAAAAACAATGATGTAATGATAGAAAAAATACTACACAAGAGCTGGCTTACCCAAGTCAAAGTTTTCCATACAGGAAGATATATTGTCAGTTACTTTCCTATAAGAATATAGATCAGTAGTATTCAATTCTTCCTGAAGACGAGAAGTAAAACTTTGTATAGCCTCAGTTAGGAAAAATTCAGGTAGGCCATCTAGTGAGCTAGAAAAAGAACCAAGTATTAAATATCTGACAACTGTGTAGCAAGTGGATATATGAAGTGGGCAGGGAATCATACAAATGAGGGAATACTGAACTACACCTTCAAAATACAGCCAGAAAATTTTAACTTCATGCCACAATCGTTGGAACTCCTTACCTCCATCTTGCTCCCCCACCTCAATAGAGTAGCCAGAGTGATATTATAAAAACACCATGTCAGTCTTTTGCCTAAAATCATCCAACAAATGTCCCTCTCAAATTAGATGCCATAGTGCTGACAATGATTTACAAGACTATACACTCTACCGCCACCATTATCTCTCCAGCCTCATCTTAATCCGTGTTCACTTAGCTCTAACTACATGGCCTCCCTTGTTGCGGTGATATACCAAAGCCTTTGCTCTTGCTATTTACTCCATCTGACATGCTTCCCTCAAATAGACCCAATAACCATTCCCTCATCCCTTTCAGGTCAATCTCAAATATCACCTTATCAGTGACATTTGAGCAAAGACTTCTGAAGTGACCTCCATAAACTGTAACCTTCACCTCATCCTTGGTGCTCCCATCCCCCACTCGCTGTCTTATTTTTCTCCATAGCATCTATTTCATCTAATCCTAATTTATTATTTATTAGGATATTATATATCCTAATTTATTTTGACTATTTTCAATCTTGGTCTTAGAACGTAACTTCCAGGGGTGCCTGGGTGGCTCAATTGGTCAAGTGTCCGATTCTTAATTTTGGCTCAGGTCATGATCTCAGGGTCACGGGGTCAAGCCCCGCACCAGGCTCTTCGTAGGGAGTCTGCTTGAGATTCTTTTTTTTTTTTTTTAAGATTTTATTTATTTATTTCACAGAGAGAGACACAGTGAGAGAGGGAACACAAGCATGGGGAGTGGGGGAGGGAGAGGCAGGCTTCCCGCAGAGCAGGGAGCCTGATGCGGGGCTTGATCCCAGGACCCTGGGATCATGACCTGAGCCAAAGGCAGATGCTTAACGACTGAGCCACCCAGGCGCCCCTCTGCTTGAGATTCTCTCTTCCCTCTCCCTCTGCCCCTCCTCCCCCCACCCCACGCTCTCACTCTCTCTCTCAAATAAATAAATCTTAAAAAAAGAAAAATGTAACCTCCATTCTAAACTGTTTTATTCACTGTATCCTCAATGCCTAGAACACTTACTTGACATATAGTTAGATGGTCAATAAACACTTACTTAATAGATAAATTCAATTAGCGTCAATTTTACTTCAATTAATCTATCTGAAAACCAGCAAGTGTTCTTTAAAAAATTTGACTGAACAGTTCTAACACTCTTCTGGAAGAAAAATAATTTAGAAATAGGAATAGTCTGAAAAAGAAAAGTCACCAGAGGGGTGACTTGCTCCAGCATATAATTAAACTACATTATCAAACTATAGTAAATAAAAGTGTGATGTTGGTGAGTAAACAAACAGACCCAAGTCTAAAACCAAATCTATGTTTATACAGAAACACAGAACATAATAAAATGGCATTCCACATACATAGGAAAGATGGACTATTCAAAAGTTTGGGGATAGGTGGTTCCCCATTATGGAAAAGAAAACTAAATTGCATCTCTAACTTACACTCCACTCAAAGCTTAGTTCCAGATGAAGTATTTTAAGAAAAGACAAGCAAGTAATTTTATACGCTTTTATAGTAGAGAAAGCATCCATAAGGAAGGCATGAAACTCAGAAATCTATATAAAGAAAAATACTAGTGAGTTTGATTACCAAGAAAAATTTTGTAATTTTTATAAAGCAAACACACCACAAAGAAAGTTTAAAGACCAGTAATAAAACAAAGGAATATTTGGCACATAATCTATATATAGCCCTTATACCCATGCCCTTCTTTATTGGCATGGGTATAAGAGAGGCTAAAGGTGTGAGAGTATTGCTTCCCTGCTATTCTTACAAACAGGAGAATCTGGACAACAAAAAGTGACAAGAAATTTCCTGGGACATTCTGCAAAATGTTTTTTCTCTCCAATAAAAAGAGATAGAAAAGAAGAAATTTCCTTTTCTTCTTTTCTGGATGCTATCATGCCTGTATAAGGTGCCTGTAACTGCTACAGCCCCCTTGTAATTCTGAAAGAAGATATGGCCAACACATGGGAGAAAAATGGAAAACATCAAGATCTTTGATGACATTGTTGACTACTTCCCAAAATCCTAGAACTGGCCAGTATCTGATCACTTGCTTTTTGACACATTAAATAAATTTACTTAAATAAGAAAAAGAAAGGACACTCTAACAAGGAAACATACAAAAGATATATAATCACAAATAGTAAAACTCCACATATTAAAAAATGTTCAATCTCACTAGTAATCTAGGAAATAAAAAGTAAAACCTAGTATTATTTTTTTACCCATTAGATTTTAAATGGTTTAAAGATTATCCAGTGTTCGAAAGATATAAAGACACTGGTACTCTCATTCCTGTTAGCAGGAGTATCAACCGGAATAGCTTTGGGGGAGTACAGTTTAGCAATGGTTTTGGTCAAGAAATTCCACTTATAGGAATTTATCTCAGGGAAATACACATAACAATCATATATGTAATTAAGAATATCACGGCATCATTGTTGGAATAATGAAAACAAAACAAACTAAACATCAGTGGAAAAGTGATTAAGTAATATGTAACGCAGTCCATAAAAATTTTGGTATATCCATATTATGGGAATATTTATAACTGTAGGAAAATATAAGGACTTCTGGTGGGAACATAAAATAGTACAGACGCTATGAAAAACAATATGGAGGTTCCTCGGGAAAATAAAAATAGAAGTACCATATGATCCAGTAATCCCACTTCTGGGTATATATGCAGAAGAACTGAAAGCAGGATCTCAAAGAGATATTTATGGACCCATGTTCATAGCAGCACTGTTCACAACAGTGAAGAGGAGGAAGTAACCCAGATGTCTATCAGCAGATGAATGAATGAATGCAATGTGGTACATATGGACAATGGAATGTAATTCAGCCTTAAAAAGGACAAAAATCCTGCCACATGCTACCACATGGATGAGCCTTGAGAATATTATGCTAAGTAGTCAAAATCAATCAAAAAAAGATAAATACAAATATTCCACTTACATGAGGTAACTAAAGTAATCAAATTCATAGAAACAGAAAGTAGAATTGTGGTAGCCAGGGGCTAGGGAGAGGAAGAAATGGGGATTTACTGTTTAATATTTATAGAGTTTCAGTTTTACAAGATGAAGAAGCTCTGGAGATCCACTGCACAACAATGTAAATATACTGAACACTCAAAAATGGTTAAGATGGCAAATTTCATGTTGTGTGTTTTTTCACACAATTAAAAAAAAAGATTAAGGACTATGCTGACACGAAAGTATCTCTAAGACATTCTTTAGTGAAAAAACAAGCTACAGAGCAATAAGTATAGTCCCATTTATGTAAAAAAATCAAAACTAAAATACAATATGATACACACACTAAACCCAAAGGAAAGGTCTAAAAACATTAGATACAAAAATGTTAAGTGATGACCTTTACTGAAAAAAGTAAGATAAGCCAGAAAGAGTGAAACAGAAGGCTCACTTCTTATTTTGTTCACTTCTATATTGCTTGAAGTCTTTACATCAAGCATATATTCTGGTATTACCTGTGTAATTAAAAATAGGTTTAAACTAAGAACAAATGGGGAAAACAGAGGAAAAAGAAATAGCAAGATGACAGATTAAACTTAACCAATAACTGCATTAATGTAAATGGACTAGACCAGGAGTCAGCAAACTACAACCTATAGCCAGTTTTATTAAGGCCTGTAACCTAAAAAGCCGTTCAACATTTTTAAAAAGTTGACATAAGTAAACAAGCAGAGACCATATAAATGAAATTGTTAGTGATGCATTTTAGTTCAGTTTTACCAAACCAGGAGAACTTTAAATACTGGTTACTTTTGGTCAAATTGAACTTTTATAATACTTAACTTCCTTTCCTTTTTTCCCTTACCTTGCCAAGACCTTCTTCAACGGATTCTTTACACTCAAAGAAAGATAAATGCCTGCTAAAATATCCAAACAACTTCGAATAGTGGGATCACATGCGCCATTTTTATCTGCCTTCTCCAGTAAAGGCACAATCTACAATCCAAAAAATTCAGTCATTGTAATTTTTTCTAATATCAAGTATATTCAGCAAAGTAACACAGTTTCAAATACTCTTTAAAGTCTCAATTATAACGTGTAATATTTTCTACACTGCATTGTTATGGATACCAATTTAAACACCTATTTTAGTATTTTTTAATCTTTTTAAATCATATCCCCAAATCTCAGTTTACCCTCCAGACCCACCTCTATTAAGAATTAGACTTGTTAATGGCTTAAGGTATAGGAATTCTGTAGCACTACTGAAAAATAAATAATATATTTAATTGCTTTCTAAAAAAATTATGCAAGTTCAAATGGTAAATCCTAATACTGAAATACTAGTAAGGACAATCTTTACATTTTAAATTAACTTCTAAATGTATCTGCTAAAAAGTTGTAAGGATTCAAATTAATAGAAATAATATTTTAAAATTTATGTCCACAAAAAAGGTATGCACAGTTGGCTTACTGTCCTATCTCTTTAGAGCTCCGATGGTGGCGGAGGCCTGAATATGGCTTCTACCAATACTCTGAATAAAATGAGGTTATATAACGAACAGAAAAGGAAAAAAAAAAAACCCTATTCTTTAATGATACATTGATATTAAATAATTGGGAGCCAAAAACTGTCAGTTAATTTTAAATGTCCAATCTTCAAGATGTATCCATGAATATCAATGTAGTCTTAACCAACTGAGCCACCCAGGCACCCGAATATCAATGTAGTCTTACCTGTTTAACATAATGGATTTGTGACACTCCATCCGTGAGCTGTACACAGTGTAACAGCAAAGAAGCTAGATTCTTTCCTTCCACATCAGCCAAAGCTAGATAACACACACACAAAAATTTAAGGATTTAACAAAATGTATGGATATGAGTTTGCCTTTGCCTTTGTTATACATTATGAAAAATCTAAGTATTTATAAACCAAAAAAAAAAGGCAGGCAGAACTTAGTCTGAAGACAGAATTTTTAGGAAACCATTTTACATGCAAAACTGAATATAAAGAACACGGAAAAATTAAATAGTAAGAGTTTGAACATCATGTGATAGTCTCAGAGATACAAATACTCTGCAACCCTGAAAAGAAGCAAACAAATTATGTCAGAAATTACTTACATCTCAAAGTTTCAAGGTCTTGATGGCAAATGGTCAGCGCAGTTACTTGCATTTCTTTCTTCTTCTTTACACCCATTTTAAAGAGAATTAATAGCAGTCACTGCAAAAAAGAAGAGTTTAAAGCATTGTCGAATTCAGGATTTCTGAACCTCAGCACTCCTGGCATTTGGGACCAGATAATTTTTTGGTATTGCGGTGTCATTCTATGCATTGTAGGATGTTTAACACGTGGATGAATAAACAAATGAATAAATTAACAAACACTGTCAGAAATGTATGCCTTTAACAACAGAAAAGTGCACTACCTGGTGTGTATATTCCATATCTAAGTGACAAGCTGGTCCTGACACTAAGAACCTATGGCCTATCTGCAAAGTAAGAAATCGATACAGCGATGGAATGTGAAAAACCACGTAACAGAAAATGGTAATAAAAATGGACACAGGTATAATGGCAAGAAAAGGGAAGAATTTGAAAAGTGACATGCTTAGATCTAGGGAAATAATTGGGGATCACTTCCTAGGAGAGTGACCAATACACAAACTTAGGAAGGGATAGAGACGGATAACTAGGGAGACTATTCTCTGGTGAATGGTGAGTAAGTTTACAGCAGGATTTGATCGTGGAACCCTCAAGACTACACAAAAAATGGTTCGGTGCTTATGCGTGCTCAACGGATGCCTAAACATTTGTCTTAATGAACTGGGCCTCCCCAAGAGGGGAATATCCCGTCCCCACCCTACAACAACGATCCAGAAGTGGCCAGAAGATGCTCAGCAAGTTATACTCCTAAATCCCACTGGCTGTTTTCCTTTTGACCGCTGCTTCACTCCCACCTACACCTTTCTGGCTGACTCCCACAAACATTCTCTGGGTAATTTCCGAACCACGTGGAGTCCGGCGAGCCACAGGTGACCGAAAAAAGTGGCGAAAGTGCTGTCTCCGTGGAGACCTAAGCCACCGGAAATCGGTAGCAACCGCCAAATTCTCGCGATAGCAAAGGACGAGAATTGGTGCGAATCGCCCAGCTGCCCTAACAAAGTAGCAGAGCCGAACAGAGTCGCGCGGTAGCGCGGGTCGGGCAGACAGGACGCGTGGGAGCCAAACCTCGTGCCCGTGAGCGTCTAAGAAGAGTCGCAGCCGTCTAGACGAGTACCGGAGCTGGTCTAGTTCTACGATGTCTCCAAGGCTCGCAACGTGGTCTGTTGACTACCGGGTCGGGGCGATGGGAGGGAGGCAAGGGGACCTGGAACAGGAGTCATCGCGAGAATTGAGCGACTGAGCTCTTCCAATAAGGAGTTCGGAGCGGCGGTGATGTCACCGGGAGCGGGTGTTAGCGAGTGGATTTGGGTAGACTTTAAAGTGTGTGGGGTGCTCAGCTTATAGCGCAGGGGTGAACCCAGCCGCGTGCAAGCTTACCCGCTTCATTCACATTAGGGAAGTCTAGACCTGGAGTACCTGGGAAGCACCTTTGCCTCAATCCAGACATTCCACCCTTCTCCCACGCAGCTTACCCAGCGCAGAGAAGGGGAGAAAATTGCCTCCGGGCTGCGGGAACCAGCGACCGTAGAGCCTGCGAGATGGGGTCATTGGGGCATAAGGCGAAGCCACGCTAGGAGTTTTAACTAAAATAAGCGCCGAAATGAACGAACGTATGCCCGAGTGCGTTTGTTCGTTCAGCAAATAGTTCATGAGCGCTAACTGTCCAAGCGTTGCCAGCCGGTGGCCTTGAAAGTTATCCCCCATTTGGGATATGTATTTTGCGCAGAAAATAAAAATCGTCAGATGATTCATTCCTTTAGAAAAATAAAATACCTAGGTGCCGAACACTACGCTAAGAGCTGAGACGTGGGGGGGGGGGGAGGGTGGTAAGATCCGGACATAGAGACGAATGCTATGCAAGTTGGCCAGTGTGGCTGGAGCCAAGTGAGTCAAGAGGGTAGGATGTAGGGAATCGGACAAGGGGAGTTAGATGATGTAAAGCCCGATTGCTCATTATAAGGACTTTTATTCTGACATGGGGAGTCATTTTGAGCAGAAGAGTAGTAGGGTTATTTACATTTCAAAAGAATCACTGGAGATACTTTGTAGTGGAAGCTGGAAGACCAGTGAGTGAGGAAGCTATTCTTGTAAACTAGGCTAGCAAGATGCTAGTGGCTCAGCCCAGGGTGGTAGCAATGGAAAGAAAGTGTGAGGAATGGACAGGTTCTGGATTATGATCTGGAAGTAAGCTAACAGGTTTTTCTTAAGGATAAGATAAGGGGTATGAAGAAAGAGGAGTCAAAGATGATCCCAAGATTTCTGGCTTAAGCAAGGAGGGGAGATAAAGTTGCCATTTATAGTGATGGGGCAAAAATTTGGAGTGGATTTGAATGGGTTTAAAACAGACTGAGGAAATGGCAAGATCAAGTAGAAACAAATCTAGTACTTCCATTACACAGGGTCAAATAAATGGAGCAGTAACTCTCTGGGAAGTAGAGGCAATGAAGGTTTGGGTTTTAAAGATTCGAATAGTAACATGTTTAGAGAAGATATCTTTTTGTTTTTGTAACCACCTGGCCCTACCAGCTTGAAACCACTTTAAATTCTCTGCTTGAGGTTTTCTAGAACACACCATAAATTTGGGCCATGAACTTTTTTTTAAGTAGCTATTTATTTTATTTGTAAAAATGCATTCAAGGGAATTTTTAAAGAATCAGTAATGCTTAGTATATAAAAGTGTAAAAACACTTAAATGACATCTTACTGTAAAAGTGGACTACATAAAATCATGAAAAATAATCAATATATCCATGTTTTGTTCTGTATAGTTTAGCTTTGGAAATACGTACCTGTTGAAGCAGCATTTTCCCCTCAATTAGGGAATGGATTTTTTAATACTTATTTAATGACACATTTTCATACATAATGATTTTAAAATCTTTGACATTTGGAAGGACATTTGAATAATTAAAATTTGATCTCTGAAAACCACAAAAAAGGACTTTAATTGCCTACTCATTTAATACTTGTTCATAAAAGTCTCTATACAAGCCAAACTTCATACTGATCCAGGGTAGGTTTCTCCTGTAAGTATTGTTTTGCATAACCAAAAAGCATGATATAGTCTGTCAGTTTTATAGTCCCATTACCTCCTAAAAAAAATACAGGATGTGGTAATCTGCCAGCAATACATGATGATTTACATAATTAAAGAATCCCTCATAAAAAAGCCTTATTTCATAGTTTCGTGTCTAAAATGAAGTCCAAGGGCGCCTGGGTGCATCAGTCGGTTAAGCGACTGCCTTTGGCTCAGGTCATGGTCTCAGGGTCCTGGGATCGAGCCCCGCATCGGGCTCCCTGCTCCGCAGAGAGTCTACTTCTGTCTACTTCTCCCTCTCCCTCTGCCTGCTGTTTTGCCTGCTTGTGCTGTCTCTGTCAAATAAATAAATAAAATCTTAAAAAATAAATAAAATGAAGTCCAAAAGCATATACTAGAGCTATGAATATGAACATTGTGTCATTTTTTTAATATAAGATGAAATTTTGTTACTTGTTAATAAATTTGTTACTATGTTGGCCCCCCCAGTCAGTGAAAAGAAAGCAAAGTTCTTGTTATTTAACTTGCTGCATAATAAATTAACCCCAAAACTTAATGTATTAAAACACTACATTTTTACTCTCTCACAATTTCTATGGGTCAGAAATTAGCAGCCTTGTATGTGGCTGAGTGCTTTTGGCCAGGAGTCTCTCATGAGCCTGCAGTCATTGGAATATCTGGCTGAGGTGGGAGGAATCACTTCCAAGATGGCTTAACCCAGAGGCTCTGGTTGTTGACAGGAGGCCTCAGTTCCTTCCATGTGGGCTTCTCCCCAGGCTGCTTAAACATTCCTCACAGCATGGTGGTAGTCCTTCCCCAGAATGAGCACATGAGACAGCCAAGTAGAAGCTTTTTTTTTTTTTTTAAGATTTTATTTATTTGACAGAGACACAGTGAGAAAGGAAACACAAGCAGGGGGAGTGGGAGAGGGAGAAGCAGGCTTCCCGCTGAGCAGGGAGCCCGATGAGGGGCTCGATCCCAGGACCCTAGGATCATGACCTGAGCCGAAGACAGACGCCTAATGACTGAGCCACCCAGGCGCCCCCAAATAGAAGCTTTGATGACTTTGATGGCCCAGCCACAGAAGTTACACACCATTTCAACAACATTCTATTAGTCACAAAGGTTAGCTTTATTCATTGTGAGAAGGGATGACACAGAAGTGTGACTACCAGGAGGCCAATATTATTGGGGAGTGCCATTTTGGAGGCTAGCTACCCCGGTACTATAGCACATCTGCTGGGTGTTCCTTGAGGCTTAAAATGTACTAGCAAAGGAATCACAACTACAGAATGATTTATTTAAGAGTGGTGTGAATATGATTTCCACAGTATATCTTAAAGGAAACATTAATGCTCATGTTTTCTTATAAAGTTATTTGCCTTTAATGGCATACATTTTCACAGAAGATGCCACGGAATTTAAACATAAAACTAGATTTATTGTGAGGAAGGAACATTTTAGATGTTCTTCAGACTTTGTCTTTTTAAGCCATTCTGATCCCTTCCCTACTTAAGAGCACACAGTGGCTTGTCTTCTATGTGACACTCCTCTCTTCCTTCTCCATACACCAGGCTCCAAGTTGAGTGACCTTCTCAGTGGTCCCTGAAAGCACTGTCCTTTCATGTGCTGTGCTGTGCTCTCTGCTGGGAGGGTCTTTCTTATTCCCACCTGTGGAAATTGCAGCACACTTGAAGAACCCATCTCAAATGTCACCTCCTCGGTGAAACCTGGCGAGAAATCCCTGTTCTGCCATACTTAAATTTTTGTCTCGGTTATAACATTGTCATTTAGTCAGTTATTTGTATGCTTGTCAGCCTTCCTCCAAGTCCTTCCAAGACGGGGACCATCTTCAGATCCCTAGTGCCTAGCGCAGCGCTGTGCATAAGTAGCTCAGCAAATATTTGTTGGGTTAGGGTAATGGCTATCAAGTTCTTCACAGTGTTAATGGGCAGTGCTGCTTATTTTACCACTATGTGGCAGCAAACTACGGAATT